AAAGTGGTCGTTTTATTATTGACAAAATATACCTATTATATAAATGTCATTGCTGTAAAAGAATATTTGCATAGTGATTTCCACAACTATGAAGAGAGCTCAGAGTTGGGTTGGGTTGGCTGTCCTCTTCATTTTATAAATAAGTAAACTGAAGCTTAGAAAGTTAGAAGGACATGTAAAAACTGAACCTCATATCCACATAACGATTCGAAATCCATTCATTGTTCTCTATACTACTCTCCAACCTAGGGGACAGCTGTTTACCCTATATCCTCCCCTCCTATGGATCCAAGAAGAGTTGTTGATTTTTCCATCTCTTCAACTTTTTACTTGTTAGGACACAGTGGCTATCCTCGTATGAGGAACTGGAAACTGGAAGTGAAATGTGTAATTTTAAGTAAAAAAAATATAAATCATGAATTATCTCAATAGGTGCAGAAAAATAATTTGACAAGATCCAACATCCATGCATAATAAAAACCATCAACAAATTAGGAAGAGAATTGCTTTAACCTGACAAAGGTATGTATGAGAAATCTACAGCTAACATATTTAATAGTGAAATATACACTAAGATCGGGAACAATATAAAACCTCATCCTCACCATTTCTATCTGCCATTGTGGTGGAAATTCTAGCCAAGGCAAGTTGGCAAGAAAAAGAAAGAAAAGGCATACAGATTGAAACTAAGTAAAACTCTTTATTCACAAATGACATTAGTCTTGCATACAGAAAATCCTAAGGAATTCACTGAAAAAAATTACTAGAATAAACAAGTTCAGCAAGATCACAGGATATAAGAGCAATATATATACTCACAACAAACAATCTAAAAATGAAATTAAGAAGGCAATTCCAAATGTATAAAAGTGCAATTTTTTTAAGAGGTCTATCCTTCAAAAACAGAAAACACATAAAATTACTTTACTGTCATTATCTAGTATGGATGGACATGTAGCTCTACTTTGAAACTCCCTAGCTACTTACCTTTCCAAAATAAAGTAATTGTCACTTATTTTGCAAAAAGTTTTTTGCCATTCTCAATAGCATGAAATAAATACTTAGGAATAAATTTAGCAAAAAAAGTGCAATACTTGTATGCTGAAAACTATAAAACACTGTTGAAGGAAATTTTGAAATAAATAGATACCCCATGCTCGTAGATTAGATATTAGACTTAATATCATGATGGCAGTACTCCCCAAATTGATCTATAGATTGAACACAATCACTATCAAAATCCCAGCTATTTTTCAAAATTGACCAGCTGATCCTAAAAGTCTTTGGAAATGCAAAAGACCCAGAATAACCAAAACAATCTTAGAAAAAAGAAGGAAAAGCTGGAAGACTCACACTTCCCAATTTCAAAGTGTACTACAAAGCCACAGTAACCAAGAGTGTGGTACTGACATCAGTGAAATAGAACAGAGTCCAGAAGTAAACATCTACGGCCAAATGATTTTTAAGAAAGGTGACAGAGGCAACATGGGAAAATAATCTTTTTAATAAATGGTACTAGAACAAATGAACGACATGAATGAATGAATATGCAAAATGATGACTTTGGATGCTTACCTCACCCCATACATAAAATCTCAAGATGGATTACAGACCTCAATTTAAAGCTAAAATTATAAGATCCTTAGAAAAACATAGGAGTAACCCTTTGAGACTTCAGATTAAGCAATGATTTCTTAGACACAACACCAAAGGCGTAAGAAATAAAATAACTGATAAGCTAGACTTCATCAAAATTAAAAACTTTTACATTTTGAAAATAAATGAGTCCACCCTGGTATTTCCAATTCAAATTTAACATTACAGAGTTTCTACTCAGCTTACTTTATTTTATAATTGCATATCTTGATTCATAACATTGTTACATGTTTTATACTCAGTTGTTATATGTTGTACTCAGTTATCTTGAGTACAACTTAAATTCCTTTGCTGCTCTTTTCCTAAGATATAGATGACAACATAGAGTCAAAATACTAGGATTTAAAGATACTAAAAATAACTCTGTGTGATTATGGCATGAACTTAATATAGTTAGGTTTATTTTCAATTTTTAAGGATTGCTTTTTCTTTTTGATCCAATTTTGTTTCATAATTATATAAAACACTTACATGGTTCCAAACTATAAACAAGGAATATTCAAGTAAGTTTTAATTTTCATTCCTGTCCCCTTTACCCAATTCCTTCCTTCCCCCTAATTAGAAACCACTTTCATTAGTTTTTGGTTTATCCTTCCATTGTTTTTTGGAAACATAAAGGAAATAGACACACAAACTCATATCTCACCCATTCCTTCCATAAAAGATAGCATACTATATATACACTGTCTACATGATGCTCTTTCAACAACACATCTTAAAGATCAAGATCACTCCATGGCAATAGTAGATATCTTCCTCAAACCTTTTTATAGTCACATAGTAGTAATTCACTGTGCAGCTACACCATAAACAATCCCCCTTTGATATGCGCATTTGGATTTTTTTCAGTCTTGCTATTATAAATACTATTGCTATACTAATACTATAGATAGCCTTGTACGGGCTTCGTTTATATTTTGCCAGTGAGTTTTGGGGATAGAATGCTAGAAGTGGGATTGCTGGTCAAAGGATAAATCCCACATAATTTTGCTAGATATTGCTAATTTCTCCATACAGATTGTACCATTTCCAATAATCTTTTAACTGTTTTTCCTTTCACTCTTGTCCACCTGTAACTCATTCTCCCTCATATCTTATAAAACACAGATTAGGTAATATTACTCTCCTGCTTAAAACTTCAGTGGTTTCCTATTGTGTTTAGAATAAAATCCAATCTCTTCACAGTATCTACAAAAACTTAGATGATGTAGATCCTGCCTCTTTCTATCAGGATTAGGTTTGGCTATGAGCAAGAGACCCAAAATAGCAACAGCTTGTACAAGATAAAAGTTTACTTCTCTGAGGCGCCTGGGTGGCTCAGTCGGTTAAGCATCAACCCTTGATTTTGGCTCAGGTCATAATCTCAAGGTTGTGAGATCGAGCCCCGTGTCGGGCTCCACACTGGAGGTGGAAACTGCTTAAGACTCTCTCTCTATCCCTCGCTGCCCCTACAACCCCCCCTCTCTTAAAAAAAAAAGTTCTCTGACATGTAAGTCTAGAGGAAGACCACCCAAGGGTGGCAATGAGACACAAACTTTAAGAAGTCCTTGAGGCACAAACCCCTTTCAGACCATGCTCTACCAGCCCTATGACCTGACGTGCATCCCCGTGACCACAAAGAATGGCTAGAATTCCAGTCATTATATGTGTTCCAAAGAGAAAAGATGGAAGAATAAGAAAAAGGCAAAGGGTACATGCCCACTGTTTTTTTTTTTTTAAAGATTTTTTTTATTTATTTATTTGAGAGAGAGAATGAGATAGAGAGAGCATGAGAGGGGGGAGGGTCCGAGGGAGAAGCAGACTCACTGCTGAGCAGGAAGCCCGATGCGGGACTCGATCCTGGGACTCCAGGATCATGACCTGAGCCGAAAGCAGTTGCTTAACCAACTGAGCCACCCAGGCGCCCTGCCCACTGTTTTTTAAGGAAGATTCCTGGAAGCTCTAAACGATCCTTCCATGTATAGGCCGTGAGTCAGAACTTAGTCATATGACTATACCTAGGTATAGTTACACCTGAGAAAGGCCAGAAAAGGTCATCTTTATTCTGGACAGCCACATGCCCAGTCAAAAATTGGGAGACATAACCAAGGGACTAAGTCTCTGCTGCACAATCTCTTCACTTTGATCTACTACTACTCCACCCTCACTCACTATGCTCCAGCCACACAGACTTCCTTTATTCCTCAAAGAAGCCGAGTTCTTAGCTATCTCAAGGCCTCTGCTCTTGCCATTCTACCTGCCTAGCAAACTCCTCCACACACTTTCACATAGCTGGCTCCCTCTCACCACTCAGGACTCAGCTCAAATGTCACTTCCTCAGAGAGACCTTCTTTGACAACTGTATAAAATGTCACCCCTTTCCATAACGTACTGCCTTATTTTCTTTATAACATTTATCTCAACTGAAATTATCTTTTACCTTCCTCCACCAGAATATAATTTCCACATGACAGGGATCTTTTTTGTCTTCATTGCTCTATCCCTGTTGCCCAATACAATTCCAAGTATACTGTAGGAGTTTAATATTAGTTAAAGGAATGACTGTCTGACTCCAAAGCCCATGCTTTTTCCACCATCTCTGCTATTCATGGTATTTGTGAAATAATACCCCATTCCAGAAATCAACCTTTGTTTTTAGACTGACAGCCTATTAAAGTTATTTCCTTTCAAACAAATTTTAAAAAACATCATTTATAAAGTAAAACAAAATCTTCCTGTGCCCAATAAATTAAAAGAAGAGATTTAGAGATTTAGATACAGCATCTTGGGCAAGTTTCCTAAGTTGCTTGATCTCATAGTTTGCATCTATAAAATGGAAGAGTTGGTTAAAATGCATTCACTTAATCTGCAGATATTTACTAAGCACTGTGCTAAAGCAAAATTAGGGACATGAAAGTTAAATAATTTCTGCCCTCAAAAGAGGCTCACAGTTGCCTTTGATTCCATATAATTGTTGGCTTGTAACATCTGTGCTAGAGAAAAAGCCTACGATTTCTCATTTGAGACATTAATTAAAGATCTGTCACCAAGACACTGATAAAAACACTGCTTCATTTTAAAAGTGAGTATTTAATTCAACATTGCAATAAGAATTGAACAGTATTAAAAACAGAAGCATATTAGTGGCTTAAAAAAGTGTGTATTAATCTCTAGTTTCCTTTGGAGGAGATTTTAATTGCCAACTCTCTACAGTGAAATGATACTAGGAAAATGTCTTTAGAAGACAGAAATTCTCTCTGGACCCAACTCTAAAATGCTTAAAAGGAATTGAAGGTTTTAAAGATCCAAATCAGAAATATTAGAGATACCTCATTTGAATCCTAAAAATTTGATGTAATAAACATTACATATTTTTTAGAAAGATGGTCCAAGAAAATAACAACTCAGCATTTTCTAGAATCTGGCATCCCAGATCATCATGACTATTATCGAGCACCTGGCTGTGATTCATTTACTACCACCTTCTTTGTTCTTCTAGATCCTTCTTGAATTCCATCTGGGCAATTCCAAAGGCACTGAGAGGAAAACAGATGCAGAGATAGATGCATATTTCTCCTGCAGGCCCTCTCAGCACAGCAATTAGGCAAATAATCAGTGAGAAAAAAGTATATAATCCATCACATATAGTCCCCACAAGACTTCAATCAATTTGAAAAATTGCCAGTTCTGTCAAATATGCCAAGACTCCAATAAGGTATTTATGACACAGAATCTGAAAAAACACAAAAAAACAGACATTTAAAATTAGAATTCTGATAACAAGGCAGTTTAATATTTGACAAATATTCCAGGCTTATTTTAAATTCTGTATCTGCAAGCTAAGATGAACCCAAACCACTGCTGCTCTAAGTCAAATAAATTTTATTCTATTTAATGAAGACTACTAACTTTAATAAATATACAACTATTAGTCAATGGTGCATAGAAATAACTAAAGTTCTTATTTATCTTGATTTCCATGGATGGGCTATCTGCATAAGGAGTAAGGAGAGGAACGGGTATCACTGAACCCCTTGGATTTATATGCAAATTGAGTATCTACATTTTCTAGAAAGATGTTCCATAGCTTCCTTCTTCTCAAAGGGATATATGATTCCAAAAGTATCTTGTACAAACTAAGCAGATGGCAGAAACCTGGTTAATACACTAATTTCAAACTTTTGAGAGGCAGTACACTGTTCAATTAAAAGCATAAGCTTTTGAGTCAGATGACTGGTTTCAAATTCAAACTCCACTTTATTAGCTATGTGATCTCAGGGAACCTACTTATCCCCTGTGCTAGTTTCGTCTTTACAAGCTATGTCAACAGATTGTTGTGAAAAACTAAATAAGACAGTATACATAAAATGCTTAATAATGCCTGGCACGGCTAGTGCTTAACAAATGTTCACTATCAAAAAAAATTTAAAAATTTTAGCTATCATCATGGCATTATGTGAAGCTAGGAGCCAGTTACTGTCTTATAACATTAAGACAGGCTCTTAGTGGGGCGCCTGGGTAGCTCAGTAGGGTAAGCATCTGACTTGATTTTGGCTCAAGTCATGATCTCAGGGTCATGGGATCAAGTCCGGCGTTGAGCCCTGTATCAGGCTCCACTCAGCATGGAGTCTGCTTATCCCTCTCCCTCTGCTCTTCCCTCCCACTTGCTTGTTCTATCTCTAAAATAAATAAATAAAATCTTAAAAAAAAAAAAAAAAAAGAGGCTCTTACATGTAGAATAGACCAGATAAAATCAATTTGTTAAAGAGCCACCTTTATATTCATAAGAACACATTATATATAACAGTTTTTAAATGTAGTTTACTAATGGAATGTGGGCATATGAAAATAAAAATCTTAAAATATACAAGGACTTCATGAACACTGAATTCTGAGGTGCTAAAATGGAATTTTTTTCCTTTATAATATCAAAGTAACAAGGTATAGTATAATCTTTCAAATGTTCTACTGCAAACCAAAGAAATAAATTTAACATCATGACCCAGTACAAGCAAATGTATACCCTTACCACATGTGATACACTCATTTTTATATTTTCTATTATATTTCTCTCATTTTTTAAAGCTGGTCTCTTCCCATCAAAATTATTTTCCAACTTACTATTGCATTATGACCTTCAGTTTGAAAAACATTAATACAGTACTTATAGAGTACAAGCTCTTTGGAACCTAAGAGATAAGCATTCAAATATTGACTCCTCCTCTGACTAAGCTATCTTGCAGGTATCACTTTCACCTATCTTATTTTAAAAATAAAATGTGGGGGCGCCAGGGTGGCTCAGTCATTAAGCATCTGCCTTAGGCTCAGGTCATGATCCCAGTGTCCTGGGATCGAGCCCTGCATTGGGTTCCCTGCTCGGCAGGAAGCCTGCTTCTCCCTCTCCCACTCCCCCTGCTTGTGTTCCCTCTCTCGCTCTCTCTGACAAATAAATAAAATCTTTAAAAAAAATAAAAATAAAATAAAATGTGGATAAAAACACCTACTACAGGGTTGCTCTAAAGGTTAAAATTAAGGTGTATTAAACTCCTAGCACAGTGACAAGACCAATATTCACTGTTTACTGTGGCTATATTTCAATACATTTTAAATATATTAATATATTTTATTATATTTAGGTGCCTACTCTCAGTTTATTTCTGATACTTCCTCTAGCAGGTACTTCATAGAGAGTAAAACAATGTCAATTTTTTCTTTCCCAGTAGGGAGAGAAAAGCCTAAAATATAAAAGTGACATCTTAGTTATGTATTTCTGGCTATAATTTTCTGATCTAACACACAAAATCCTCTGTTGCTCCAATAGTTATTTCAAAGTTTGACAAAGCAATTTTTAAAGTTTCAAAGTTACTACAGAATAATTCCTATTATTACCAAAGTCTGTAGCACATAGCATACAGTATCCTCCCATTATAAAGCTATATCTAGAGGCTGAAGACTTTCTAGTAAATCATTTATAAAGCATAAAATATCTCTACTATCTTGAATTAGCATTCAAATGTGTTTCTTCAATGTAGAAAATACAATTACCATACATTTTGAAAGCTATGTAACAATAAGGAAAAATTACTTAACTAGATTTGTTCAGACTAACCTTTATTTTTCCATCAGTATGTGCTGAAGCTACAGATGTGGAAACACGGACCAATCTTGTGGCTGATAAGTGAATTTTGAAATGCCTATGGAAATGTGAATAAAGGCAGTCCATAAATAAGTCAACTTCCTCCTGAGTAACTTCCCCAGGTGTTTTGTGGACACTGTCCCACAAAGCTTTGGCATCCTCTGGATGTATGGCATAAGAAATGTCCAGACTTTGAGGGCTACAGGGTACAGACCAAAGAAATTCGGTAGCAGCCATATACTGGTCCATTTTGCATGCAGTCCACATAGCAGCCATCCAGGAAAGATTAAATGCATTGATTGCTAAGGGACTGAAATAACAATCAAAAGTTTTCTGAAACCAGGTTCCTACTATGGCTGTGTTCGTCTCTGCTCCATTTGCAAGGAATAAGGGTACACAGGTGAAATCTTCTGAAACAGTCTCCAGAAGACTGTCTCCAAATATACAGCAGAACCAACCAGTCCACAACACTTTATGTTCTCTGTTCCCATATGGCAATTGAGATTTTGACAGAATCTACAAAGAAAAAAAAGGTTAAGTTCAAAAGTACATTTACTCCTAAATTACATCTTCTCAAAATTAATACATTTAAAAATAAGAAGATATGTTGTACTACTCGCCAAAAAACAAAAAGGGAATAATCTCCCTAATCACTATTAGGATTTATCAAGTTAGTTGACCTACCTCCTAATACTCTTATTAGGATATGGTATATGGCAAGATCTTGGTGCAGCCAAAATGCAAAATAAGGAATGCCGATATGGTGTAATCAAGTACACTATCCTGAGAAAAAAAATCTCAAAATCTCAACTTCAGAAGGGACTGTAAAAAGTCACCAAATCCAACATGCTTGAATTCTTCCTAAGGCAGCTCTATCAACTTAAAAACGTTCTCGCATATGTTAGGCCCACAGTTTCTACCCGCAGGTCCTGTTTTCTTCCTTATGTGCATGTAGAACAAATCAAATCTAATTTCTCTTCTACAGGAAAAGCCCTTCAAATATTTGATGACCCCTATCATATGTAATGTCAAGTTCAACATCTCCGTTTCTTCAACCATTCTTCCTATGCCATACACATTATCCTGGTCACTCTGAAATTCTTCTGCAGGGGAGTCATTCATAAGTGAATATAATTACTTCAAAAAGATCTGATTAAAGGACTGTAACCAAGGTGCCTGGGTGGCTCAGTTGTTAAGCATCTGCCTTCGGCTCCGGTCATGATCCCAGGGTCCTGGGATCGAGCCCCACATCGGGCTCCCTCCTTGGCGGGAAGCCCGCTTCTCCCTCTCCCATTCCCCTTGCTTGTGTTCCTGCTCTCGCTGTCTCTCTCTCTGTCAAATAAATAAATAAAATCTTTAGGGCGCCTGGGTGGCTCAGCTGGTTAAGCGACTGCCTTCAGCTCAGGTCATGATCCTGGAGTCCCGGGATCGAGTCCCACATCGGGATTCCTGCTCAGCAGAGAGTCCGCTTCTCCCTCTGACCCTCTTCCCTCTCGTTCTATCTCTCATTCTCTCTCTCTCTCAAATAAATAAATAAAATCTTTAAAATAAAATAAAGGACTGTGACCATCTTTAACCTAGATTATACAACTATTAATATAGATTGCAGTAGTTTTCTAATTTTTAGTTGACAGCTTTACATAAATTATCCCTATTCGTTTTTTGCTATTAATAGGTAAATCTCTGGGCACCATGGTGGCTCAGTCAGTTAAGCAGCCAACTCTTGATTTGGGCTCAGGTCATGATCTCAGGGTCCTGAGAATGAGCCCCACATGATCTCAGGGTCCTGAGAATGAGCCCCACGTCAGGCTCCATGCTCAGCAGGGAGTCTGCTTGAGATTCTCCCCCTCTCCCCCTACCCCTGCTTGTGTGCTCTCTAAAGTAAACAAATAAATCTTTAAAAAAAAAAAAAAGGTAAACCTCCCCTAATATACAGAGGCAGTATATTTATTCCTATTAAAATTTTAATCTCTTTCAATTTGATCCATTGCGCCAATCCATTCAGATTTTTCAGAATCTTATGTTTTCCAGCAGACTGACTAACATCTCAAACTTCAAATCTATAAAGTACATGACAAACATACCTTCCAGATATTCATAGTTTTAAAGTTTGACCAGGATAAAATGAAGATCACAGCCCAGTATCATATCTCTTTAGAGATAATCATTTTAACAGTTACTTTTTGCATACTTCTCCTCCTTGTTCAAAAGATTATGAGACTTAAAAGCCTTTAAGCCCAGATAGGTCTATCACACTTTCATAACCTAAAAGTTCTGTAACTCTGTGAAGAAATGAGATTTAACTTGGACACTATTAGGACACTCTAGTAAGAGTTCAAGAGGTCATTTCTATTCCTTACAAGAACGTTTGCCTGTTGACATGCAAATCACATCCCTTCTCTGGGCATCAACTGCTTCATCTGACAAAGACTGCTAACTGTCTACCCAGTACCTATTTTTTCCTTCCACAATAAAACTATGCTTTTAATGAGGTGGCAAAGTACCCACTAAAACAGAAAAATTTCCTAGTCTGCCTTCCAACTGGGATGTAAAGAGAAGTTGTTGGGTCTTAGCGGTCTCATTAAAGATTCATTCGGTTCACCTTCCTACTTCCTGCCTGGAACTTGCAGAGAATATTTAGAGCTTCAGGAGCCACCTTAGACTTAAGATGCAACCTTAAGGAGAGAAGCCATGCACCAAGGATGAGAGAGAAGATGGAGAAGATGGAAGAAGCCTAGATTATTAATTCATAAAGCATATACCAGCCTTAAACACCTTACCTCCAAACACTTTTTGGTAAGACAAATAAGCCTCTATCTATTAAACCTCAAGACAAGACATTTAATTCACGGTTATTTGGTCTTTCTGTTTTATGCAGCTAAACCTAATGCTAAGAATCTTGAAGATCCTTGCCAATATTATGATCCATACCAGGAGTTAGCAAATTTTTTCTGTAAAAGTCAGATAGTAAATATTTTAGGCTTTGCAAGCCATATGGTCTCTGTAGCAAATACTCAAACGTGCTGTTGTAGCACAAAAGCAGCCATAGACAATATGTAAACAAATGAAAGGAGCACTGTTCCAGTAAAACCTTATTTGCAAAAACAGCAACAAAAACAAGCAGCAGGTCAGATTTGGCCCACACGCCATAGTTGGCATATTTCAGAATTTAATTCATAATGACTAAGATGAGTTCACTCAGAAGAAACAGAAGTAGCAGGCATGAATAATAAATCCAGTTTCTTAATCCAAAAATAGTCATATTACTTTTAAATACTACACATAGGAAGGAATGTTACATTTCTAAGAGTAACCTGGCATGATATATCACAATATATGATGATTAATTATATGTGTGTGTGTGTATATATATATATATTTTTTTTTTTTTGCTAAAATTCCACTTCTAGGAATTTAGTCCATAGAATTAGACAGATATACTTACAAAAATGTAATATTCTTGTTTTTTTTTAAAGATTTTATTTATTCATTTGAGACACAGAGATACAGAGAGAAAGAGAGAGAGAGAAAGCATGAGCAGGAAGAGAGGCAGAGGTAGAGGGAGAAGCAGGCTCCCCGCTGAGCCAGGAGCCCGATGTGGGGCTCGATCCCAGAACCCTGGGATCATGACCCAAGCCGAAGGCAGATGCTTAACCATCTGAGTCACCCAGGCACCCCCAAAAATGTAATATTCTTAAGGACATGAGTAATTATCTACAACATTATTATTAATTTTTAAAAAAAGGCCATACGCAATAGTATGGGCAATAAAAATCCCAATTTTAGTAGATCCAGATAGCCAGATACATCTATGTTCATGAGAGATATTGATCAATAGTTTTAATAATCTTTGTCTAGTTTTAGTATTGGGTAATGCTAGCCTCACAGAATGCATAAGGAAGTATTCCCTCTGGTTCTATACTCTGAAGAGACTAGAAAACTGAAATAATTTCCTCCTTGTTTGGCAGAATTCACCAGTGAACCCATCTGGGCCTGATGCTTTCTATTTTGGAAAGTATTGACTCAATTTCTTTAATAAATAGAGGTTTACTCAGATTGTCTATTGCCAAATAGATGTAGACCAAGTGTTAAACTGTGGTTTTCAATTTTCTTTGTATTTTTATGTATTTTCTAAGTTTTCTAAAGTAAACATAACTATAATGTAACTGGAAAAAAAACTTTTTAGTTAGCCATATCCAATTACTGTAATTTGGTCAAACAAGACATAAAATAGGTTATAAATCACAAGGTTAAAAATTTTTTTAAATGGTAAGAAAATACCACAATTTTTAAACCAAGACAGTGCCAATTCTTTTCCTCTGGGAAGCAAGGATTGCTTATATAACATACCTGGACGAGAAACGCTTCAGAGTCTCTTTGTGTTCCTTTCATTCCTAGGAGAGTGGAGAAAGTCACTTTGATGTTGAAGTCTTCTCCCACTTCCACAGCAAGCCCTTTTTGCTTTTCAGCAGCAATAAATGCACTCAGAAGTCTAGAATACTCTTTGAGATTAGTATAGGAGAATTTATATAGGGGAGTTAGACTATATAAAGTCCATTGTTTATGCAGAAGGAATGCAACTTTTTGAGGATCATTATCTTCCTACAGGAAAACAAAAGTCAAGACAAGTTTAAATTCTCATTTACTAATATTTCCTAATTCTTAATCATAGTACTTTAAATACTTAATACAAATCTATTACTGGGTACCTGATCTTTACACTCCAGCCAAAATAGAGTTTGCAGAACTCTGAAGATCCCTGAACAAGTCTTTTCATTTGCTGTACCGTCACTCTGGAATACTCTTCCCATATGTGTTCACGTGGCATGTTCCTTTCCTTCACTCAGGTCTGTCCAAATGTCACTCAAGAGGCTACTCTATCTAATTCTGTCTCACTCCAATTTTGTCACTTTATATCTCCTTAACATGCCTTTTTTTCAAAGCATTTATTACTATATGACATTATATGTTTGTCTGATTTTTACTGTCTGGCTTCCTAACTAGAGTGTAAGTATGACAAGAACAGGGATTTTGTCTATTTTATTAGGTGCTATATCTCTAGCATCTAGAACGGCTGTTCAATAAATATTAGATGAACATTTGTTTGACTTTTAGAAATTTAAAATTATAGATTTTGAAAACAGTAACTATTCCTGGAGCATTTCATTAGTTTTAATTATATAATTTTCTTAAACGTTTGATGGTAAATCCACTCTATGACACAATGTCAAATTCAGTAGATTAAATAAAAAGATACTTGGGAGCATTTCTGCCATGTTCTAGTAGAACCATGGGTACCATCAAAAACAAAAACACTTCCTTCATATTGGCCCTATGACATTATTGAGGGTCTTCACAAACACCCCCATACAGGTTCCTACTTTTATCCTGAATTGAATTTTTCTATAAAATCCATAGTTTCTGACATAGTCTTACAGCTCCAACTACTTTTGGAACTTTCATTACAGTTGTCTACTTGATAAAACTATTTCTTCTGACTAGAGTGTTCATGGAAACTTTTATAAAACTTGTATAAAAAGTTATAAACTTTTTTCTTGTTATGATCAAAAGGTACAGGAAAAGTATTTGTTTCACAGAGATAAGGAAATGAATTGGACATTCCAATCTTTATATACAATTTCTGTTTATGGTTAGGAGCCATCACTTTCATTAGCAGCACTAGTAATTTAAGAAACTTTTCAGAAAGAAGCAAAAATTTTCCCATACCTCAAGAGATATGAGGCACACAACATGGACAAGAAAACAAGACTATAGGGAGGATGTGGGTGACTGATCAGCCAGACTTCTTGCTATGTTTCTCAAGACCACACATCAAACTCACACTGACTAGGGTTTTATTTCATGGTCCAGTGAAATCACAAATTACTAATGTTACCTTCAGAGTTGTTTATGAATAATCAAAACAGGGAATGTTGCCAGCAAACTGGAGACAATATAAACATCAAAATAATTTAGTAATAATTTAGAAAAATTTGAAAAACAAAAATTCATTAAGCCAAATAAATAAATAAATAAATGAAGGAGAAATGAGAAGGGTTTATAATAGAATGCCAAAGGCTGGTTGGTAAATATGGAGCAAATGGAGTTGGAAAATCATTATATTGTGACCATGATGATAAAGATAGAATCAGACAAATATTATCGATGGATGTTAAGTGTAAGGGGAAATTTTGATGAGGAACAGAATATTTACATTATTCTAAAGTGTTTCCCAGACTGCTTATTAGATGCAGAGAGGAATAAAACAGTAAACCACTGGGCAACACCTTGACAGGATGATCAAAACTGACATCACCTCCGTGCTACCAGATGTTATTCCCCAAAAAGGACTGTGTTCCAGCCAATACATAACTTCAATCTAACCATGAGGAGACATCAGACAAATACAAAACAAAGAATATTCTATTTAAAAAGGAAAGGGGAGGTGGCTCAGTCTTTGAGCATCTGCCTTTGGCTCGGGTCATGATCCCGGGGTCCTGGGATGGAGCCCCGCATCGGGCTCCCAGCTCGGCGGGAAGCCTGCTTCTCCCTTTCCCACTCCCCCCTGCTTGTGTTCCCTCTCTTGCTGTCTCTCTCCCTGTCAAATAATAAATAAATAAAAATCTTTAAAAAAATAAAATAAAATAAAAAGGAAAGGGGAGGAAACTACATTCTTCAAAACATCGATGTCATAAAAAACAAAGAAATACTGTGGAAATGCTCCAAATTAAAGGAAATTAAAAGACATAACAGAGGTGATATTGATAGTGTGAATAATTGTTTGTTTTTGCTATTTCCATTTATTTTATTATCTGAGAGATTAAGAAGACACTAAAAATATTAAAAAGTAACAAAAATCAAAATGTTTTGCTCACAGATTTTCTCAATTATTGAGTAACACGAAGGAACACAAAAGGCATACCTGTAATTGTGAACACTGAGGAATTTTCCTTCGAGGTGGAGTTGGGATAAATGAAGTCAGCTTCCTGACTGATTCTAATCGTTTCTGCAAAGGGGTGGCACCTATAAAGTAATCTTTAAGCCTTGAGGATGCACTCTGCCTAGGAGTCGATTCTGACGTATCATAAGAATCCATGGTCTACATAAATAGAAATAAAACCAGAATTCTGAACACTAAAAAGTTAATTCATGCTTATGGTTTCACTGATCCTTCTTCTCCTTGCTATAAAGGAATTCTTTCTTTCCCTTCCTCTCCCGCTAAGCCACTTACCCCCAGATTTGAGTTTTTAACCAAGTCCTGTATTTCTCATTGGCTATAGGCTATTTTTATGAATATCTTACCGATACCTCAAACACAGAATGTTCAAAACTAAATTAAACTCCTTCCCAACATCCTCCAAAAGTTAGCTGGTCCATTTTCAAATTCCTGCCAATTTTCTACGTTAAATTCATTTAAAGTGGGAGAAAAGTATTCTCCCACTTTCATTCTTGAACATGTAGTCATTAAGCACATTCCTTCAACAGTCTCTGTCATCCATTCCCAAAGCTACTTCTAGGTTCTTATTACAGTATCTAAGGGTAATCCATTCTTCAGCAGTGACACTTTATTATTAGTCGCCTGTGCAAAAAAACTTTACAGTGATGAGAAAAATTCTACCTCTCTATTTAAGATCTTTCATAATTCAGCATGCTCTTGTCCTACTTCTAGGCATAAACATATTCTTGTCTTCATGTTTTCGCCGATCAATCATGTTCCTTACCGCCCCCCTTTAGGACCATGCTTGAATTTGATCTCTTTTCAAGTAGAAGGGTTTTGTTAATCTTTTTTCCCCAGAATATCTACGTTATGCACTTCTGTCTGTGTCAATAGCTCATTCCTGGAAGCAATGTGTATGGGGGCACGGCTGTGTGTGTTTACAGAATGAGATCTCAGGGGTAAATATTTTTTTAAAAGCCCAAAAATCCTCTCGATGAGTCTAACAAAATCTTTCAAAATGTTTCATAAAATGTTTGGAGATTAATAATATCCCAGCCCACATAGCTCTCCTTGATCATCTAGTCTGTACCACTCATTTTGGCCCATATTCATATAGTTCCTTGTACAATTTTTTTTTGGTGTGCATTTTTTCTCTTCCCAACAAGACTAAAATACTTTGAAATCATGCTTTATATTTCTCTTGTACAATTATCCTAATATAATGCTGAGTATTCTTTAATTGTTAGCAAGTATTGCAGGGTTTTTTGTTAGTTTTTGTAGTTTCAAGTTTTTCTTTAAATTCCAGTTAGTTAACATACAGCGTAGTATTAGATTCAGGAGTAGAATTTAGAGATTCATCACTTACATACAACTCCCAGTTGCTCATCACAAGTACCCTCCTTAATACCCATCACCCATTTAACCCATCCCCCCCTCCGCCCACCTCCCTTAACAAGTATCAGTTTAAATGGACAGAAGAGGGGCGCCTGAATGGCTCAGTCATTGAGCGTCTGCCTTCGGCTCAGGTCATGATCCCAGGGTCCTGGGATTGAGTCCCGCATTGGGCTCCCTGATCAGCGGGAAGCCTGCTTCTCCGTCTCCCACTCCCCCTGCTTGTGTTCCCTCTCTCGCTGTCTCTCTCTCTGTCAAATAAATAAAATCTTTAAAAAAAAAAAAAAAGAAGAATTTCATAGAACTCTGAAATTATAACTTTCGTTGAAAGGAATTATGATTTAAAAGTTATAATAATTACTCCCACATATTGGCACAGTTACCCTTTGATAACAGTTTTGCACAAATGAAAACTTGTAGGGGCGCCTGGGTGGCTCAGTCGGTTAAGAGTCTGCCTTCGGCTCAGGTCGTGATCCTGAAGTGCCCGGATACAGCTCCACATAGGATAGAGCCCCACATCAGGCTCCCTGCTCAGCAGGGAGTCTGCTTCTCCCTCTCCCCTTCCCTCCGCTTGTGTTTGCGTGCGTGCGTGCTCTCTCTCTCAAATAAAACCTTTTAAAAAAATGAAAACTTGTATTTATTACTATATTTAAATGTTATTATGTCAAAGTAGGACACCCTCTGTATCTTGCACAAAACTTCACAGGTTAAATATGCATTTCTCAATGCTCAGATAATGCCCAAGCAAGATCATACACCACACAATTTAAATAACAGCTACTTTAAAGCATTCTACCTTTAAATGCATACTGAATTACCTCTTTAAAAGGGAGTTTTAGGGCACCTAGTTATCTCAGTCAGTTAAGAATCTGACTCTTGATTTCGGCTCAGGTCATGATCTCAGGGTCGTGAGATTGAGCCCTGTGCACTGGGCATGGAGCCTGCTTGAGATTCTCTCTCTCCCTCTGCCCCTACATCCACCCTTCTCTGGCGCTGTCTTAAAAAAAAAAAAAAACGGGCACCTGGGTGGCTCAGATGGTTAAGCGTCTGCCTTTGGCTCAGGTCATGATCCCAGGGTCCTGGGATCAAGTCCCTCACTGGGCTCCCTCCTTGGCGGGGAGCCTGCTTCTTCCTCTCCCGCTCTCCCTGCTCGTGCTTTCTGTCAAATAAATAAATAAATAATCTTAAAAAAAAAAAAAAGCAAAAAACAGGGAGGAGGGATTTTAATCAGTCCCATCTACACAGAATATTTCTTTCAAATTTTTATTTGGATTAATTGCTAACATTTATTGGGTATTCATCAGGTGCCAGGTACTTGTCCAAGCCCCTAACAAATACTGTCTCATCTAATCCTCAATCCCCATGAGGTGGTTTATTATATTCCCAGTTGACAGACGAAAAGACAAAGAAGTTCAGTAATCTGCCAAAGTCATACAGGTAAAGAAGGCAAGAACCAGGATTTGAACCCAGACAGTATAACGCCAGAGTGGGTGCTCTTATCTCTTTTTTCACATTGCCTTTTTTTTTTTTTTAAAGATTTTATTTATCCATTTGACAGAGAGAGACACAGCGAGAGAGGGAACACAAGCAAGGCGAGTGGGAGAGGGAGAAGCAGGCCCCCAGCGGAGCAGAGAGCCCGATGTGGGGCTCAATCCCAGGACCCTGGGATCACGACCCGAGCCGAAGGCAGACGCCCAACGACCGAGCCACCCAGGCGCCCCTCACATTGCCTTTCAATAGAGATCAATTTCAAGGCAAAAGAAGCCCTGCTAAATTTGACTCCTTAAAAGAGAAATGCTATGAATTCCAAAAATTGATTTAAAAATCTATGTAGATGAGAAAAGGGCTATTAGCACGGAGACAGTTGGTTTTGAGAAAACCTTTCCCCTCAGTATTTAATATTATGGTAATGTGAAATATCCCAAACCACACATGACAGATTAGAAAATGACTTACATCTATTTTATTCTCTCACTCTGCACTCAATAAAGGGCAATTTTGCCCTGCCCAATAAGTAAAAGGTTAAAGATATATCTTGACTCATTATTTTAGTGTCCCATTCTTAACCCCTTCCCCCAGTCCATAAGGAGTGATCCATAGACGCCACTTCTATCTTGTCATTACCTTGCTGGAGATCCCCTAACAATTTCCATCCATCTTTCAGATGAAGTCAGAACTTCTCTGAGTTTCATGGCACTACATGATCTGATCTTATTATTTGATACTATCCAGGTTGATTTTCTACTTCAGGAGTTCTCAGCCCAAGATCTATGGACAAATGGCCTTTCCAAAATCCAACAACCCTCTGAGGTTGTATGCACTATGTTGGTATGCATGTGTATTTGGTGGTGGAGAGGGAGGAAGAAAGATCCAGTAGACAATTTTTGAAAAGATTAAGAACCACTGCCCTAGACTGATCATCACCTACTACTCCCCTTAGTGCCTGTCATGTTTGCCTCTGCTCCCTTTTTTATTCAGCCTTCAGCCAACTAAGGATGCTTCTCTCCTCCCATTTGCCTGACCAAATGCCATCCATCCCGGAGGTTTCACGTCCTCAGAAGCCGGCCGGTATCCAGAGTATCACCAGCTCTTCTTGCACTTGTAGTTCATAACACACAGTTACAACTTAGTTGTATTTCTTGTGGTAAATCCATGAAGGAAGGAACCCTGACTTTTTACATTGCTACCAATACCTAAATCCCACTTCCAATGCTTGGCCGAGTGCCAAGCACGTAGTGTGCAGCCATCTCAACACAAAAGTCTTGTAGAGATAACGAGCACACAGCAGGGCAAAACATAAAGTTTACGGCCAGTCCTGGACAAAGATAAAACTTCTTACCAATAAAATACCGTGATGACACTGTCACCCATTCCGGCTTCAAGAGTCATTCTTCAATTCTGGTTCCAAAAGTAGGTAGAGACTAAAATCCCCTGAAGTTTAAAAAAAAAAAAAAAAAAGCCGCCAAAATGGCAGGTAAGAGAGAGTTTGGAGGAATCCTTGGCCCCTCCAAATTCCCTCTCGCTCCACAATAACTGGGTTCACCAGGGACACAAACTCGCTTCCTCAGATGTCCGGAGACTTCACCCCAGGAGGGGCATTTCCGCTAACCCAGCTCTGCGACCCTCGCTTCTGCGGAGTCGGCCTCTGCCGGAGGAAGGGAAGGGCAAGGGACAATGGGTCCCAACTCTCCCCTCTCCACCTGAGCCCTTCAGAGGCCCAGCGAGCTCGGAAATCCCGCCTTTGAGAAGCTGCAAAACAGCGCTCAGCCGCCGCCTCAGTTTAAAATAGTTTCCCGTCTCGCTCTGCGGCGGGACGCCGGAAGCCTCCCTGATGCCGATCACCCGTTAGTGAAGCAACTACGGTCGCCATTTTAACTGAGGTCCAACGACCTAACCATAACCGTCAACTTTGCTGACCGCGCGGTGTTAGTTTTCAGCGCTTTTCTACCTGCGCGAAGCGTTCCTTCAAATTTCCGCCCATAATAAGCATGGCGGCAGCACCTCTGCTCTGATTGGTTGAATGCCTTCACCGTAACTTGAGCGTTCTCGGAGCCGAATGAGGAGCGCTTGGCTCTCATTGATGATCTGGGTGTGGGTTCTGGACCTGAGAAGGTTTCGGGTTTGCTGGCCTTCCTCTTTCTGAAGACCGGAAGCCGGCCGCCAGGTCGGAGAGATTTAAAACCTGAGGCTGAGTTCCTTCCTGTTTTCCAAGTTCGGCCTGCGGGAACCTTCGGGGAAGCGTGGAAGGAAGGGAAGGGCGGGCGCTTGTTGGTCAGCCCCTTCCGCCTCTATATGGTTGCGGAGTCCCACTCTGCCCTGCTGCGTGGAAGGGTTCTCTCGGCTCTTCTGGGGCCGCAGTTCGGTTGGTTAGAAGTGGAAACTGATGCATTGGAGGTGGAAAAAGGCTCTTTCCCCTACCCGCTTTCCAAGGGCCCCAAAGAACTTGTAGATTTATCTAGTTTCTAGACACGTGGAGTTGAATATTCAGCGGAGAAGGGCTTAAATATTGGAGAAGAGAGCGAGAACAACTAGCATTTTAAGGGATTTGTGTATATTTCCAAAAGTGACTTTTGATCATCAACACCGGCAGCCTGCGGCTCCAACATGTTCTGTTGGTTAAGTCGGCAATACTGGGGTTTTTCCACACCCACCGGAAGGATGGCCCACCTGATCCGGGGTTCTCTCTCCAGAACGCTGGTGGTCGGTTCACAGAGGAGAACTCCAGGTGAAAGCAGTGAAGGGCTCTCTCCTCTTAAACAGTACTTCCTCCTGGTCTCTGCAGTCAGTGCTCTTATTCCATTTTCCTGTAGTCTGAACTGGATAGCCTTATGTGTAGAGGCAGATCATTCACTCTCCATTTCTTATAATGTAGATTTTTGTCTGGAGTTTTAAAAGTAATCACATGAATTCTGCTTTTAGCTGATGCTATTAATAAGCCTAAAAAATTATTTCACATTTGAGACTGTTTTGTATAGTGTTTCTAGCGTGCAAGTGACTGGTTTCACTCTAGATTCATACCATCAAACTTCCGTTATTCCAACACCTCATTTCATTTTGGAAAGGAATGTGCATTATTAAAAATAGGATAATTTTAGGTCTCAATGCAAATGCTACGTGATCAAAGTTTAGATTTCCTAACACAGGGCAAAAATGTACAGTAAGACTGTTAATTCACTTGGCTTTTGACACATTTGCAGGTAAATTAAATAGTGACTGAATCAAATTACATACTTCAACTTTATGAATTTCATTCATTGACATGAAATACTTAAGATGATATAATTTGAGGGTCTTTATTTTCAAGCAATTTGCAAATCATATGTTTTTAATATTGCTTTCCTTTAAAGAATTCAGTAGCTTTGTTGCTCGGACCAACACGTGTGGAGAGTTGCGTTCTTCTCACTTAGGCCAAGAAGTCACTTTGTGTGGATGGATTCAATACCGAAGGTAAACTGGCTTACGAATGCCTGGTGGTTAGGGGTGACTTGTGTGGTTGGGTCCCTTAAACTTTCAGCTCTTGATTTCTGCTCAGGTCATGATCTCAAGGTTGTGAGATAGAGCCCCAAGATGGGATCCACCTGCTTAAGATACTCTTTCTGCCCCTCCCACCTCCCTCCCCCCAAAAAAAGAATGCCTGGAGGTTGTTTTCCCTCAGACAGTTCCAAACTTTTATTAATTTTCAATCACTCAGAACAGCAAAAGCTTTGCAACTCCTGCCGGATTCTCAGAATTCATTGAGTTTTCAGATTTGTTTTGAAAGACTCAAACAGAGTCACTGGAGTGGCATCTGTTGAAGGGTGTGATAACAGTGTGTTCCACCAGTGGACTGAAATGTCCCTTAGCTTACTCAAGTTGAAGAGTTCCTAGGACCAGTAATTGGGAGTGGGCCAGCTGGTAAGCTTCAGTAGCATGAAAAAGCTTATTTTATTCTAAATTTAGGTAGAGAAAAAGCCTAAAAACACGAACAGTGATTCCTTAAGATTAAAGCCCATTTTGTTGTTCATCTCTATATTCCAGCACATTCCTGAATAGTACATTAATTAACAGTGAAGAGCTCCAAAATACATTGACTGTGTGGCCTTCCTGAAGAATATGTTCCATATGGGTGGATATTTGACCCATAAATTTGGTGACATCTGAACTCAAAATCTGAAGAGGTTTTCTGTACCTCTTCCTGGTACTAAGGATAGTATGAGAAATGCGGGTTGAACGCTAAAATGTTGGGATTTGGGGGACCTTTTTGATGGTTTATAGAAGTATTAGTAGTTGGACCACCTCTAGAAAATTGTAGTTTTATCTTTTAAGAAAAGAGATTATAGAGACACCTGGGTGGCTCAGTCGGTTAAGTCTCTGCCTTCAGGTCAGGTCACGGTCCCCGGGGTCCTGGGATCAAGCTCCGAATCGGGCTCCCTGCTCAGCGGGGAACCTGCTTCTCCCTCTACCTGTGCCCCTCTCCCCAACTCGTGCTCTCTTGCTTGCTCTCTCTCAAGTAAATAAAATCTTTAAAAAAAAAAAGTTCATATTGCTATATTTCAAAAATGACCAATTGGATATTTCTAATATCCTAAAATATTTGTGGATTTTAATACGTGAAAAGTTTCCAAGTTTAATAAAATTTTCTTATAAAGACTTAAGCCAATGAAAATTAAAAGTTTGCTTTTTACTGACAAGCCATCTGGATAACATTAGTAAGCTGAATATATAACCAGTAAAAATTGAAATTGAAAATGAAAAGCCTGGGGTGCCTGGTTGGCTCAGTGGGCAGTGTGTGCGACTCTGGATCTCAGGGTTGTGAGTTCGAACCCTGCTTGTGGCATGGAGTTTACTTAAAAATTTTTTTAAAAACAGGAGCACCTGGGTGGCTCAATGGGTTGAGTGGCTGCCTTCGGCTCAGGTCGTGATCCTGGGGTCCTGGGATAAGCCCCGTGTTGGGCTCCCTGCTCAGCAGTCCTTCTCCTTCTGCTTCTCCCCCTGCTTGTGCTCTCTCTCAAATAGATAAAATTGTTTTTAGAAAAATTTAAAAATAGATGATTAAGAAAATAACATGCAAAGTCTGGGTTTTTTTCCGTTAATAAGCTACATAGATAATTGCATGAATGTAGCACATAATGAAAACACATAATTATAAAAAGAACATGGGAAATTGCATGGATTTTTGTTTGTTTGTTTGTTTAATTTGTTTTGCCTGCTTAAAATTTTGGCCTAACATGTTCATTTTCTTCATTGATCAGGCAAAACATCTTCCTGGTCCTGAGAGATTTCCATGGGCTTGTTCAAGTTGTTATTCCCCAGGAGGAGGTAATAGAAGGTTTCCTACTGTTATCTGAAAGTCTCTTTGATGCCATAGTAGAGTAAGCTTAGTATGTTGGTTAAGTGTGTGTGTGTGAGATGAAATGTTCCTGGAATAATACATACATATCTGGTAACATTGGCAAACTCTGGGAAAGGTGACTTTTTACTGTATATCTATTTATACCCCTTGAATTTTGAGCCATGTGAAGGGTACCACCTGCTCAAAAAAAAAAAAAAAATTAGCATTAAAATTAGGTAGAATAGCTCTTATGCTTGTTGAGCAATATTAGTTTCTCTTGTGGTAATGTTTACAAATGCTTTATATCTAAGAAATGTATGATTTACTCAGTTCTTAGTCTTTGAAGTAGGTAAAGAGCAATGAATTATCTTTCAGGGATCAGGATCCAGAGACGAGTAGCTAACCCATGAGAATTCCTTTCAGTTGGACTCCATTATTTCTATTGGATGTAACTGCCCCTAAGACTAACTCTGGAGACAGTTACCTTAAAAGTATCTAGGAATTGTTTCCATCGATCATTCTTCCCCTTATTTTCCTTTAAGGAAAAAATTCTAAAACCCTGAACTAATAGGTTTACCTGCTGTGTTATGTGGAGTCAAAATGGCGATGCAATTTACTAAATTCTTTAAGTCATTAAGGGCAGCCCCAGTATTTATGGCAGTTAAGCTATGAGTGTTAATATTTTTCTAAACCATAGACTGCGGTAACTACATATTCCTCTACATTCGTTTGTTTGTCGAAACTGTTTTTCTCTCTCATTCTGTAGTCAGCTGCTTCTGTGAAGAAGATTCTATGTGAAGCCCCTGTGGAATCTGTGGTGCAAGTGTCTGGAACAGTAATTTCCCGACCTCCAGGACAAGAGAATCCAGTTAGTAGTTAAGAAACGGTCCATGTAAATTTTACCTGTATACGTGTGCACTCTCTACACATTTAGGCAACAGACACCGAGCACTTATTAGACATCAGGCACTAAGATTTCTGCAGGTTCCACAAATGAACCTACAGATTCCGAAATCTTCACTGCAAACACACACCAATGTGCACAGGCATGTTAAGACATCTGTCAGTGAGCACATCGGCCACAGATATGCGTAAGAATGTCAAAATCATGCACAGACATTGATGCTTTAGACTACACGACATGCACAATTTACATATGTAAATAAATGCATGCGTTTTACAAATGATCACTGGGTACAGGTCCTGATGAGTGATTTTTTTTTAAAAAATAGGTCTTTTCTTCTCTCTCTTTAAGAAAATGCCAACAGGTGAGATCGAAGTCAAAGTTAAAACAGCTGAACTTCTGAATTCCTGCAAGAAGCTGCCCTTTGAAATTAAGGACTTTGTGAAGGTGCCATCCTCTGTTATTAATAAAATAGAGTATCTAGAAAATGTTGGTAACCAGTAAAGTGTTTTCAGAGTTTTTTTAAAGAAAAACTAACTTCTACAAAATTGAGCATTTTTTTGTGGACCTCTCATGAAGTGTTCTGTTCTGTGCTGTTCTGAAGTAAGCCGTCGCAGTTCCTAAACACCTAGGCTGCTTTTTCAGACAGCTCGAAACATGGTTCTACCTTTAAGACTTGAGGAGATGTTTTCAGGTTTTTTTGTTCTTGTTTTACATTTTGAAAGGAAATTTGTGTCTAGCTTGGAAATAGCCAGACGGCATAGGAGATCCTGCATCTATTAACTTTCAGGCTCTAACAGTGATAAAATGTTTGCTTGACTTCCCAAGCATATAAATCTGATTACTGTATTTTAGGGTGTACTTTGCCCAAGCTTGAGGGGTTGTCGAAGCTAAATAGCTCTGGGTGAGTATACCCAGATAATCTGCAGCTTTGACACAATTATCTACAGTTGAAGATGTATATACATCTAATTTGTAAACTGATCTATAGGACGGTTTTTAAATTAACTGTATGGCCACTTAGTGTTACATTTAAATTCTCAATACTTAATCTTTTAATTAGAAAAAGCAGTATAATGATCTGGTTGACCTTTTTGTGGGGGGAGAGAAAAGGAAATATACAGTTTTCCCCCAGCTAAGCTTTCAGAAAGAAATGACAGTTCTACTTCTGGTTAAAAAGTTGTCAGCACGGAGAGCTGCAGAGATTTACAGCTTTGAAAACAAGCAGACCTTCTCACCACTTCCTACCACTACAACAGTGGGGGGGGTTTCCTTGCATTTCTCACACCTGTACTCCCACTCAGGTGATAATGTCATAGCTATTTTTGCTCTTGTGTATTTTTTAAGATTTTATTCATTTATTTATTTTTAAAGATTTTATTTATTTGACAGAGAGAGAGAGAGCACAAGTAGGCAGAACAGCAGGGAGAGGGAGAGGAAGAAGCATGCTCTCCGCTGAGCAGGGAGCCTGACGCGGGGCTCGATCCCAGGACCCTGGGTTCACGACCCGAGCCAAAGGCAGCCGCTTAACTGACTGAGCCACCCAGGCGCCCCAAGATTTTATTTATTTATTTATTTATTTGAGAGAGAACGAGCAGGGGGAATGGCAGAGAGAGAGGAGAAGCTCAGTAGGGATCCCGACGCGGGGCTCGATCCCAGGACCGCGGGATCATGACCAGAACCAAAGGCAGACGCTTAACCTACTGAGCCACCCAGGCGCCCCTACTCTGGTGTATATTTTTAAATGGTCTTTGAAGTCTTTAAATATATTTTTCAAGACTCAACTGTGGGCTTAAATAAATAGATAAATGTTTAGTGAGGGTAGGCAAATTTCAGTCAGTGAAGGGCGATGTTAATAATAAAGAAGAGTTTAAAAAAAAATCTATGCTAGTAACAAACTTAGAGGCTGTAGGAATTACGGATGGTGTTGTATTCGCAAATGGTGGAAACTAAAGATAGAACTGAAGTTTTTGAAAATCCACGCTCTGTATTAAAGCTAATATCTCTTTAATGTTCAAAGAATATTTAAACATTAAAATCTTCCGATTTGTTTAGAAAACAGAGGCTCTTCGTTTGCAGTATCGCTACTTAGACTTGCGTAGTTTCCAAATGCAGTATAACCTGCGACTGAGGTCCCAGATGGTCATGAAAATGCGGGAGTATCTCTGTAATCTACACGGTAAAGGACATGCCTAAATGTTTTTTAGAGCTTTTTAGCATCTTCTTTCTGTTTTATTCAGCATTTTATTGTATCTCTCTTTAGCATCATTGGGTCAGAAGTTGCCAGAGGTCTGGAATTCACTTAATGTATAAAGCAGTTTTTGAAAAAAGGTGATTTCCAGGTGTTTTGTCCTAGAGCATAATTTGGTAACTTAGAACATAATTTAGTTCTACTAGATCCCAAATACAGTCTTTTAAAGATATTGCATTGAAGGTAGAAAAGCCTTTTGGTTGTTATCTATGAGTTTTCTTAATTTTTTATCATGCTTATACTAATTTGTTAGGAACTCAGAAATGTCCTACGAATTAAACTAGACTCTTCAATCAGTCCTGGAGGTTTTTCTACTATGTTTGAATTATTTTTGCTATCCTAGCAGAACATTTAGAAAACGAAAACAGTTCAGTAAACAAGAATCCATCAAATAGTCGGAATTATTTCATGACAAAAGTGTCACTTTATGAGCCAAATAGGGTTTTATGAAAATCTTCAGCTTCTGTCTTGGATGTGTGGAAATCAGTATTCAGTAGGCTTGGTAACTTCTTTCAGTCAAAATTCCTAATTAAAATGTAGCCTCAGATTTGATTTGTTAAACTGTACCCTAGACAACATATTTGACAAATTCCTATCTATTAATTTCTGATGCTTCTCTCTTTTTAGGATTTGTGGATATAGAAACACCAACATTGTTTAAGAGGACTCCTGGGGTATGTATATCCCTTAAATTAGCCTACTAATAATGTCCTATTAGTTCTGAAATAGGACCACTTTGTTTTTATATTCATGTGGCTATATTTTTTTCATATATTTTATTATTTCACAATGATCACATTAACTAGGTTTTGTTAAGAGTTGAGAAAATTATATGGATCAGTGTTTTGAGTCAGAACACTTTTATTCTACATGAGTTTTCTTTCCCTTGAGGTTTATAAATGCAAATCAATAATGAATTCTTTCCTTAAAAATAAACCCCTTGTGGGGCGCCTGGCTGGCTCAGTCAGGAGAGCGTGTGACTCTTGATCTCAGACTTGTGAGTTCAAGCCCCAAATGGAGTATAGAGATTACTTAAATAAATAAAAAAACTTAAAAGAAAATAAACTCCTTGTTCAATAAGAATTGACATTTCTAAACATTAATATTTACACAGTCCATGGACTTATAAAAACATCGTTTAAAAAAGCAGTTAGCAATTATTAGATGGGAATTGCACAAAATTCTTTCAGCTCATAACAGAATTGGGAATTCATTTCAACAAGCATGCATGTATTACTTACCATGTACAAACATTGTTAGAAGCCTACTGTGGCCAAGCCTTTTGGGGGACTAAAAGATGAGCAAGAGATGATCTCTGTCATTTGCTCTTTAGTTAACTTCGTTGATGAGCTGAAGTATCAACTTCCACGAGGTCTTAGGTTCAGGTTTTTTTAACAGTATTTCTGCTCTCCTCTCGTTAAAGGGTGCAAAAGAGTTTGTAATACCATCCAGGGAACCTGGAAAGTTTTATTGTCTCCCTCAGAGTCCTCAACAGTTTAAACAGCTTCTGATGGTTGGTGGTTTAGACAGGTGAGCCTTCTGTATGTTAGTAAGTTGTCAGAAAAAGAAAGGGAAGAAAGGTGGGGAGGAAAAAAGGAAACAAAATTATCTGATCTCTTAAAAGAAGTTAGAAAATGTATGAGCATTTGGAAAATACTTGTTAAAAACCCTAAACATTTGTAGTCATTATTTCGTAAAGATGTATTGGGTGGCCACTGTGTGCAAAGCTCTATGCTAGTAGATGTGCAGGAAATTAAAAACAAAAAAGGAAAGGTCTTAGGAGCGCCTGGGTGACTCAGTTGGTTAAGTGTCTGACTCTTGATCTCGGCTCATATCTTGCTCTCAGGGTTGTAAGTTCAAGCCCTGAGTTGGGCTCCAAGGTGGGCATGGAGCCTACCTAAAAAGAGAGAGAGAGAAAGAAAGCAAGCAAGCAAGAAAGAAAAGGTTTTGCTCTCCAGGAGTTAATGAATATAGTAAGACAGAATAGGGTAATAAATAAATAAAACAACTGCCAACTATGATAGAACCCAAAAATAAGTTTGTTGAGGGTTGCAAACTAGGTATTGTTTGGGGAAATATTATTTAAAAAGCTTTGTGAGCAAGGCCTTTTGGGACAGAGCTGCATCTCAGCAGTTGAAGATGAGAATGAGAATGGCATAGCACAAAAAAGCTCAAGTGTAGTCATGGAGCAATAAGTATTTTGATTTGGCCAGAGCAAAAGAGTATATATAAAGAAGCGTAAGTGCCTTGCATGCCAATCTAATATACGAATATTGAAAGGTGACATTGTATATTTTTAAAATAATGTATAGAATATTAGTTTCTTATGGGTCTACTGTATATCTGATTAGATTAGAGCATCATAAAGAATTTTAAAATGTCTTATGTCCTTTAGATACCATTATTAATTTATTTCATAGACTGCACTACCATGAACTTTTGGGGAAAAGTATGTGTATCTTCCTAGAATCATGACTCAATTCACGCTATTTTTCAATTGTAGGTATTTTCAGGTTGCCCGATGTTACCGAGATGAAGGTTCAAGACCAGACCGACAGCCTGAGTTTACTCAGGTACTAAGTTATATTCACTTTTGTCTCTTACTCAGCCGTCCTCGTTCCAGCCAAGTGGTTCCAGACCAGGCAGTAATTTTATATATAGGCAGACCTCGTTTTGTTGTACTTCGCTTTATTGTGCTTCGCAGACATTGCATTGTTTACCGATTGAAGGTTTGTGGCAACTCTTCAGACCAAGTGGATCAGCACCATTTTTCCAAGCATTTGCTCCCTTTGTGTCTCTATGTCACGTTTTGGTAATTCTCACAATATTTCAAACGTTTTCACTATTATGTTTGTTTTGGTGATCTGTGATCAGTGATTGTGATTCACTGAAAGTTCAGATGATGTTAGTATTTTCTAGCAATAAAGTATTTTTTAATAAAGGCACATACATTTTTTGACAATGTTATTGCACACTTAATAGATTACAGTGCAGGATAAACATAACTTTTATAGGCATTGCAAAACCAAAAAATTAATTTGACTCACTTTATTGTGATTATGCTTTATTGCAGCAGTCTGGAACCACACCTGCAAGAGCTCTAGTGTATGCCGGTGCTTTACTTCTCATTACATTTTATCCATCAGATATTTAATTAAACTAACCTGCAGTTGAGACACTATTTAATTTTTGATCCATTTCATGTGTCCTTTTTATAACACGTATGGTCATCAACTAAGAAATGCCAAAGATTCCTGCAGTGTTTTAATGGTCGTTGCTAGGATAAAGTTCTTTAAAACAAATCTCTTGTACGTTAAAAACCAAGAATTCTGTACATTGGTATTTAATCTGTCTAATCTTTAGACTCATCAAAGCTGTCATGATTTGGTTTTTATATGATAGCGTGTTAATCAATGTGAAGCGCAAAAATCATAAGCTTTGGAGTTGGTCAAACCTGGGATCAAGTGTAGTTTCACTACTTATTAAGTGCATGTACACAGGCAAGTTACAAAGCCTCTCTGAGCCTCAAGCCATGAGGAGAGTGATGGGAACTAAACAAGTTGTTATATGTAAAGCATTAGAATAATGCCTAACTACAAAACAGATGTACAGTAAATTTATCCTCCCAACCCGCACCCATGTATTAAGTATTTATGTGCAGAATCCTATGGTAACTTGAAACCAGAGGAATGTATAAATACGTACATATTAATATTGTGGCTGTTCAAGTTAGTTTCCATATGTTATTTGGTTTCAGATTGACATAGAGATGTCTTTTGTAGACCAGACCGGAATCCGGAGCCTAATTGAGGGTCTGCTCCAGTATTCCTGGCCCAATGACAAAGATCCTCTAGTGGTTCCTTTTCCTTCTATGACTTTTGCTGAGGCATTGGCCAGCTATGGAACAGATAAACCTGACACTCGCTTTGGGATGAAGGTACTTCTCTTCACTTTTCCAGGACTCTGTGCCACCATAGTCCTGCAGTTTTTTAAACCACTTTGAAATTTACAACCAGTTACACACATTGTTATATCATATTTTTTTGTTGTTACTTTAGCTTGTTACCAAGCTATATAGCAAGAGAGAATTAAAGCATGTTAGCACTACAGTACTTTTGTCCTATCTACTATGCTCCTAGACCGTTTCCAAGAGTGAGGTTCTTGCCATAAAGTTTTTATTACTGACAACTTATTAATTATATGGACATGAATGACCACTTGAGAGGGAAAAAAAACCCTATTCTTTCCTCTTCAATTTTTCTTAAGCTAAAATGGCACTTGGAAGGCAAATGATTAAAGAGTTATTCTTTTTCCCTAGCCTATAAAGAGCTCAAACATATGGAAATGTTTATTCAGATTATAAGATCTGTACATAGTTTAACTAGGGGTAAGAGTAGAATTTATATAAAGCAGTTTCCATTAGCAAGCCTCTCGTTATTTGCTCTTAGAAAGCAGTGGCCCTTCATGTCTATAATGCTGGTGGCATTTCTCTATCTCAGTTCTCAGTGCAAATTCCTTAGAAATCAAAGGTCCACTTCATCTATAAATAGGCAGTGCTCGATTCTTGGGATGAAAAAATATACAAAATGTTCTAACTGCCTACTTACAGCTGCCAACTTAACCACTCCTTATTTCTTCTTTTGTAATATAGAATAGTGGTGCTAAAGTCAGACTTCTTAGGTTAGGTTCTGGCTCTGTGTTGTCTTGGCCGAGTTATTTTCTTCTCTGTGCCTGGTTTCTTCCTGTATTACATGGGGATAATGAGAGTGCATATCTCATACTCTTGTTGTACTGATTAAATGAATTAATAATGATGAATAATACATTAGTACATTAACCCCGTCGTAGTGCTCAACCCAGTAAAAACTGATTGCGCTCTGTAAACATTAACTTAGTAAGATCTACTTCTTTAGAATCTTGTTTGTAAAATTTTTTGAGATAAAAATTACTTCACATTTAGTTACCTTTTTTTGTTACTCATTTTATAGATCATAGATATTAGTGATATGTTCAGAAACACAGAGGTTGGATTTCTTCAAGATGCACTTAGTAAACCCCAAGGAGCCGTCAAAGCCATATGTATCTCTGAAGGAGCAGTAAGTGACTCGCAGTTCTGTTTCTCTAGGGTGTTTATTTGGGAAGTAAATATGTTCAACGTTCAGCACTAGCACATTTAAACGTCAAGAACAGTTCTTTTTTTAAGAATATATATTTTTAAGGGCGCCTGGGTGGCTCAATCAGTTAAGTGTCCAACTCCTGATTTCGGCTCAGGTCATGATCTTAGGGTCCTGAGATTGAGCTCCACATCGGGCTCTGCACTGGGTATGGAGCCTGCTTGAGATTCTTTCTCTCTCTCTTTCTCCTTCTACCGTTCCCCTCTTTCTAAAAAAAAAAGAAAGAAAGAAAGAAAGAAAAAGAGTACATATTTTTAAAACAGTGTCCCTGAAACTGTAAGTAGAGAATAAAACCCTGTGAGTGTGAGTTTACACTCAAGATCTAGAGTTTTTGTCTTTCTTTTAAAAAATGCTGTAAAGTACTCCTCTACTTCATTTGGGATCATTCCCACCAGTGATGAGCATGAAATAGTGTTCATATGTCCTCCAGCCTCAGTTTATCCGAAGGCTCCCAGCCCATATCAGCTCCAGCATTGCCCTTGCATGTTGGTTCTGGGTCTTTGGAGATCCCTGGTCTCAGTCGCATTCAGTTGCATTAATAACAGCGGGAGGGCTAGGAGGTGGAGCTGTGAAAAGCAAAAGGGAGGGGACATTAGGGTCGGATAAAGAATGACCGGGCTAGCTAGGCAACCCCTGACTCTGAGGTGATGAGACACAGCTGTTTTCCATAGTTAGCACACCTGCTTTGAACAGAATTCGAGAAGAGTTCCGGAAGAACATTTAACAAAATTACTATTTTGAAAGATGACTCCTTTGAGCATATTAGTGTATGCAAAATGGGAATAAGAATTCATTCTCATTACTTTAATTCACTTCACATGTTTAGTGGAAAGTAATTTGTGTCCATACTCAAGTCCAGACATAATGAATGCGTGCAGGTAAGCTCAGTGTCACATATACTGCTTGGTGTTGTTGTTTGCCTCCATTTAAGTGTGTCCAGTCTTCCCGGAGCAGATTGTGAGAAGTGCAGGATTGTGAGCTGTGTCTCCACTTTTTCGTATCTCCCACACCTAGTGTAGTGCCCCGAGAATATTAGCTATCATGATAGTCCTCCTGTCTCCCTCACAAAGGCATTGAGATAATTTAGAAATAGTAAGATACAAAGAATTGTAAGCGACCTGAAATAAGCAAATTCTCAATCCTCTTTCTGATCTGGAAGTTATTTTTTCTTAACACAATTCAGTTGTAAAGATTTGAACATGTACCCCACGTATTCCATTTGCAGGCTCTTCTGTGGAATACATTCATGGCCATTTCCAGTGAGACTTGTGTGATTCAGGGGGAGGGGAATAAGCCCTGTGACAAGCTCTAAAGTGTTGTCATTTGGAAGCAGAAATTAAATTTTATATTGAATCCTATTGTGATGGAAGGACACAAAATGTATTTGTATCCTATTTGATACCATAGACATGTTTATGAAGCTGAGTTTACTTTTGTTTTCAGAAATACTTAAAAAGGAAGGACATTGAATCCATTAGAAAATTTGCAGCTGACCATTTTAATCAGGTAAGGAGTTAATTACAATAGGTTTTTTTTTTCCCTTTTAGGGATTACATATTTTTAGTAAGTGTTTGAGCTCTTTATACAATCACTAGTTTTGAGGTCTTGTTATTTCAGACCATTTTTCTACTTTTCTTCTTTTTAAAGTTCATCTAATCCCAGGGCATGACTCTAGGACTTTGACTTAGACAGTTGAATTCACCATTAATCGGAATGTGGAAGTTCAACCATAGTTTTTAAAATAAATGTGGAGAGATGCCTGGGTGGCTCAGTTGGTTAAATGGTTAAGCATCTGCCTTCGGCTCACGTCATGATCAAGCCCCATGTCAGGCTCCCTGCTCAGCGGGGAGTCTGCTTCTCCCTCTGCTCCTCCACCCACTTGTGGTCTCTCTCGCTCTCTTGCTCTCTCTCTCAAATAAATAAATAATCTTTAAAAAATAAATGTGAAGTTTTAATCCAGTTAGGATTAGATTAGAGCCCCATGTGCCCAAGTTTTGAAAGAAAGCCTGTATTCATTGTTCTTCCCATACCCTTTTTAAAATTCTGAATCCACCTTTGACAGACACATTTTGTGTTGTTGGCTTGGTGAATGGAGGAACTGAACTACAGAGGAGTAGGAGTGGGAAACAGACCTTCTTATCTTGTCATTAGACCTGGAAATTGCCTCAGCCTTCTCGGAATCAGTAACTTTAAAATTAATCGTGCCCTCTGAGTCATGAATTTTCCGTGACATACTTTGTAGAAAACATTCTAAATGTGAGGAGAGTATGCTCATTATAGTATCCTTTACAACAGGGGTAAGATGAAATTATATGGGAATGATTAAATAAATTAAGGTATAATCAAAGGAATTAATATGAAAGTTCCTTTTTAAAACTTTGTCTCCAAAGAGTTTATAGTATGGGGGACATGTTCATGTTGTAATGATTTGTAAGAAAAGGAAAATACAGAATTCTATAAACACTGATCGTAACCAGGTAAAAACACAGTATTTATGGACTGAAAATGGACCACCTCCGCTGCTACCACAAGCCAAGCCTCATACCTCAGGCTCAAAGGGATTTTTCAACAAGAAAGAAAGAAACATTAGGATAATGGTTTCCAAATGGGTCAAGGCAAAATGAGAAAAGTCAGAGCAATATAAAAAGCTTTTCATAAAGCTAAATGAATTTAAAGAATTATCCTTTACTTCTCCTTGTTCTTTGTTGTAAAAATGTATGTTCTTTTATGAAATGATGGTAATAGCAGATAATGTTTTAGGTTTGTTTGATGCCTTTGATAAAATTCAAAAGTGGCAACTCTAGATCTCCCAATTTTGTTTCTTTACTTTCATGTTGCTAGTGTTTGAAGTCTGCATCTAGGATCGACAGGACCAGGAAATAAGCCCAAAGGTTAATAACTTCAGTAGCCTTCAGTTGATTGAACTCTTACTACATGTTCTTCTTTTCCTCATCTCTTTTCCTCTTTTCCTTTTTCACCCTTTCTCATTAACTGGATTTTTTTTTTTTTTTAAGATTTTATTTATTTGACAGAGAGAGACACAGCGAGAGCAGGAACACAAGCAGGGGGAGTGGGAGAGGGAGAAGCAGGCTTCCTGCGGAGCAGGGAGCCCGATGTAGGACGCGATCCCAGGAATCTGGGATCATGACCTGAGCCGAAGGCAGATGCTTAACGACTGAGCCACCCAGGTGCCCTCATTAACTGGATTTTTATAGAAGAAATGGGCACTACTGTTTTTTTCAATTTATTAATATATTTTAACTTGGCTTTTTTTTTAATATGTGTGTGAATTTTTAGCAATATGCTACATACAGGGTTAAAAACACAAATAGTAAAGGATTACTAATGAGAAGCAACAAGTGTGTGCTCTGGCTCACATCACTCCAGTCCCACACCAGCCAGAACTTCTCCGTTCTTAGAAATATATCTACATACTAGTGTTTTTGTTTGTTTGTGTTTGTTTTTACTTATCCATTTAAAATTTTATCTCTTAACTTCCTGCACGATAGATGAAGCTCCCACACACAGGCCTTACTTAGTTACTCTGTTCCTCCTGCACAGCCATCTTTCTGGACCTTTTCTTCATTCGTCTTCTGAGTTAAGCCATTCTTCCTGGATCCCAGATCTTCCTCTTTCTTATTTGTGTTGGAGTATATCTTCAAGTAACTTCCTAAGAAAGCGTGCAAGAGATACACTTGCTTTGTCTAAAAATGTCTTTATGTTCAAAACCTCACACTTGATTACTAATTTGGCTTAGTATAAAATTCAGAATTGGCAGTCATATCCCTTTAGAACAGTGCTGTCCGGGGCACCTGGATGGCTCAGTTCGTTGAGCCTCCGACTCTTGGTTTCAGCTCAGGTCATGATCTCATGGGTCATGGAATCAAGCCCCGCATCAGACTCCCACTTATGGGGAGTCAGCTTGAAGATTCTCTCCCTCTGCCCTTCCCCCCACTTGCCCTCTTGCGCAAGCACTCACTCTCTCTCTCTAAAATAAATAAATCTTTAAAGAAAGAAAGGGAGAAAGAGAGAGGAAGGAAAGAAAGGAAAGAGAGAGAAAAGAAAGAAAGAAAAGGGAGGGAGGGAGGAAGGAACGAACTAATGAACGAACGAACGAACAGTGCTGTCCAACAGAACTTTCTGTGATGGTGGGAATGTTTTGCATCTGCATCGTCCAATATGGTAACCACTAGCCAGTGTAGCCATCCAGTGCTTGAAATGTGGCTAGTATACCTGAGGAGCTGAATTTTTTATTTTGTTTCACTGCAGTTAAATAGGTACTTGTGAGTGGTGGCTACTATATTAGACAGCACAGCCTTACCTTGTTGAAGGCATTGTTTTTTTCTGTGCATACCTGCTGTTACTGCTGAGAAGCCTGATGCTGATACAAATTTATTCCTTTACAGCAAACTTGATTGTTTTCCTTTGGAAGCATTCAGCCTCCTGATTCTTGATGTTCCAAAATTTCAAATTATGTACCTTTGGGTTGTTTTACATTCATGTGTTGTACACTAGAAGGGCCCTTTCAATATGGTGGCTCATGTCTTTCATCTGTGGAAAGTTGTTCTATTACTAATTGTTTTTACATCATTTTCTCTAGTCTCTTTTTTGGAATTTCTTTTAGTCCTATTTGGACCTCCTATTGTAACTTAACTTGTCTCTTTTTTTCCCCGTGTCCTTTCCCACCATTTTCTTTGTCCCTTTTTTTTTTAAGATTTTTTATCTATTCATTTAACAGAGATAGAGAGAGAGCACAAGTAGGCAGAGTGGCAGGCAGAGGGAAGGGAGAAGCAGGCTCTCCACCAAGCAGGGAGACCGACGCGGGGCTCGATCCCAGAACCCTGGGATCATGACCTGAGCCAAAGGCAGTCACCCAACTGACTGAGCCACCCAGGCACCCCTTCTTCATCCTTTTTATTCTAAGAGATTTCTTCAACTCTTCTGTTGAATTCTTTTTAGCAATCATGTTTATGTCCCAATAGCTGTTTCTTGGTTTTTTCCATCATATTTTATTCTCGTTTTATTGATAAAATATATTTTTGAGGGCCTTTGAGGATTCAGTTCTCCTTTGGTCCCTAAACTTTACCTCTTTGCTCTCAGGTCCTTTTTTTTTTTTTTTTTTTTAAATACTGCAGAATTTCTTTGCTGTATGGTGACTGTTGATTGTACGTATTTAGAATGAGGCATTTTTTTTTCAGTTTTTATTTAAATTCCAGTTAGTTAACATACAATATATTAGTTTCAGGTTTACAGTTTAGTGAGTCAGCACTTCCTTACGATGCCCGGTACTCTTTATCCCCATCACCTGTTTCACCCGTCCTCCACCCACCTCCCAGAACGAAGCATCTAAAAAGCTGATTGGGAGTGGAGCCTGGCTGGTTCACTTGGTAGAGCGTGCGACTCTTGATCTCTCTTGATCTCTCTTAATCTCAGGGGTCCTGAGTTCAAGCCCCACACTGGGTGTAGAGCTTAGTTAAAGAAAAAAAAAAACATTTTTTTTAAGCTGGTTGGGAACACAGGGTGCTTGCAGGGACTTTGTGAATGGGTAGATTCAGTTTAGGGGAAGTAGCAGAGCCATTGACTATTACCCTGTGAAACCAAACCTTCTTAAGAGTCCTGACCCTACCCTCTAGGCTTCTGCAGGGTAAAATCAGTTCCTTCTGTGCTGAGACTACTCCATTTTTCTCCAGGCCAGAACTTCCTGCATCTTGCTGCTATAATCGTTCTATTCCATTTATTTGTAGCCTGCCACAAATTTGCAGAAACCTCTTTGCTGGTGTCTCTTACCTTTTATTCCCTTTTGTTTTTGATTATAGTGAGATTACTTTTGTAATTCCTCTAGTATCATTTTGAAGGGGTTGAGGGAGGGAATGAAGATCATCCCATGTTCTATTGGAAACAAATCTTTCTACGACAAGAAAAATAAATCACCCCCACTTTTTAAGAAAATGTGACTAAAGTCTTTTTCTTTATCACAGGAAGTCTTACCTGTATTCCCGAAAGCCAATAGAAACTGGAATACTCCAGTTGCTCAGTCCATACTGGAGGAGCAAAGATCAGGACTAATCAAACTCATGGAAATCCAAGAGGATGATGTGGTCCTGCTGACTGCCGGGGAGCACAAGAAAGCAGTAAGAAAAACTACCTGTGAATGTCTGTGCTGTTGATGCTGCATGGTTCCTCTCTTCTCCTACGTACATAGTACATATTTAAAACTGACTTAATTTCATAAAATGTTGGTGCTGCTCTACATGAGTTTTCTATTAATAAATACCTTTCAGCACTTACAAACAATGCACTGGATCAGAACTCGAGTTTTCTTCATCAGCTCCTAGCCTCCATCGGCACTGCTCACACAGTGATGATTGTGAGGATTGGCATTGTTCACACAGATTAGATCTGGCTCTGATTAGGAAAGCCACTCAGGTAAAGGGCCATTGGTATTCCTTTTAGGGCTGTGAAAAAATATTTTTATTTTCCAGGTTTTGCAGATTAGGATATTTTGGTAATCCCAAACTTTTGTAGATAATGCATTCCTAAAATTGTGGAGGGAGAGATCAGACTGTTGGAAGGCTACTGGGCTGGCAGACATCTCTGGCCCTACTTGGTCAAGGCAGGACCCTTCCTCCTCAGGAGCAGCAGCTGGGAGGCAATGAGCGCCACCATGCCTGGTGATCTGTGGAGTGGACTTAGCCATAAAGATCATTGTAAAATGTACAGAAGTATGGAATATAAGCAAACATGAATATTGAAAATATATTGGAAAGGTCAAGTGTGATATAAATTCATTATTACACTAAAGTATAATATGATTTCTTTATAGCAGTGGTGTCTGATTAGTACTTTATCAAGTCCATTCTTTAATTTGTATTTGTTCTGTGCATATCATTGTTTGTTCCAGAGGAAAAGCTTCAGAGGTCAGTTCAGTGCTAAATGTAACCCACTATCTGGCACCTGGCTGGCTCAGTCGAAAGAGCATACAACTCTTGATCTTGGGGTCATGAGTTCGAGCCCTACGTTGGGTGTAGAGATTACTTTAAATAAGTAAATATATAAATTTTAAAAGACTTCTTTTGAATAAATAAATAAATGTAACCCACTATCTTTCCCTTCCCCTGCAGTAGTGGAGTGAAGAAAGCTATTTAATTACAAATTTGTTTTGATACCACTGTCATGTTTATAATGAATTCATTTATCGACATTATTTTTTAATACCAGCCATGAACAGCCCTGATAAATTTGCTGGGGAATGCACCAGTTAATTACAAATTTTACTGTCAATGAGTTTCTTACAGAAGAACTTGGGATTTTGTATTATATAAGTATCCTGCTGCAAACTCGTTTGGTCATTCCGCTCTCAGGAAGGTACTGTTCCAATTCCTATTGGGACTCCTTGAAACATCTAGAAACCAGACTTACGAGGAATAGCATTAGATTCTGAATATGTCATAGTGCAAGTACCCTGGGCGCATCTTTAACGTAAGCTAGAATAGGCCATAAAGTGACACCCTGTGTATGTCTCCAGGCATGGTTTCCTTTCTCAGGGAAGCTCTGCATATCATAGTTAGCACTTAGTGAGCGCTTCTGTTTGCTCAGCACTGTTCTGTGTACTTTGTGTGTATTAACTCATTTAATCCTCATGACAACCTTATAGGAGAGAAGTTACCATTCTAAGATAAGAAAACGGAGGCATGGGGGCGCCTGGGTGGCTCAGTCAATTAAGCGTCTGCCTTCGGCTCAAGTCATGATCTTGGGATGCTGGGATCAAGCCCCACATTGGACACCCTGCTCAGAGGGAAGCCTGCTTCTCCCCCTCCCTCTGCCCCTTTCCCCCACTCTCCACTTGTGCTTTCTGCTCTCTTTCTCAAATAAATAAATAAAATATGTTTCAAAAAAGGAAAACTGAGGCACAGAGGTTAGAAATTTGCTCACACGCAGCTAGGCAGTAGGGGAGCCAGGGTTCTAATCTATGAAGTCTGGCTTCAAAACTCACACTGTCAAACAGACCTCTTCTCATACTTCCCCTCTAATCATAGCCAACTTTTACGGGCCATCAGCTGTGGGCCAGGCACTGCTCAGAGCCTCACCACACCCTGCAGGAGCAGTCAGGAAAATATTCACAAAATAGCCGCCATGGATATGGCACCTCACATGCCAAATCTCACTTGATGTTCACAACAGCTTTTTGGAGTAGATCGGTTGATCTCCATTGTCCCTGGGAAAAGGTGCAGAGAAGTGAGTCAGTAGCCAAACTGAGATACACCCAGGTCAGTCAGGCTCCGGTGCCTGTGCCCTCAGTCACTGTGTCATCAAATCCTCACCCGATCTGCCTGCCGCGTGTGACCGTCCTTCTCAACCATGTTTCAGTCCGATCATCCTCAGCTCTTTGTCTCCTGGGAGGCTCAGAGTGTCTCATCTATTAATTGTCTAATCCCTTCTCAGAGGATGGCCTGGCTGTAGAGCCCAGCTTGTGTCATTTGCTGCCTACTCTGTCACAGCGGTTAAGTCAACATTTGTATCTTCTGTTTGCAGTGCTCTGTGCTGGGAAAATTACGACTGGAATGTGCCGACCTTCTAGAAGCAAGAGGATCGGTGCTCCGTGACCCAGCTCTGTTCTCTTTCCTTTGGGTTGTGGATTTCCCACTCTTCCTTCCCAAGGAGGAAAATCCCGGAGAGCTGGAGTCAGCCCACCACCCATTCACTGCTCCCCACCCCAGTGACCTCCAGCTCCTATACACCGAACCCGAGAAGGTACCATATCTGTACTTCCAAATAAAAGGGAAATGTGGAAACACAGGAAAAGAAGTTTCGATTTCACAGTCTGACCCAGTTCTGGAAGCCTCAGAAGAGATGGTCGGGTTTGAGCCCATAGTGAATACATTGTCTCTAAGTAACTTCACTGTCTTCAACCTGTAGAACAACAGAAAACTAGAAATTTTCTCTAACGTAAGGGCTCTGTGAATCTTCTAGGTCCGTAGCCAACACTATGACTTGGTTTTAAATGGCAGTGAGATAGGCGGTGGTTCTATCCGAATTCATGATGCAGAGCTCCAGCATTACATTCTGGCAACATTACTAAAGGTAACATCATCTAACCTGTTGTGTTATTTTTTTAACCAGAATATCTGTTGTTTTAGCCAGCGTTATGATATAGTGGTAAGCATAGCTGCCTTCTAGAATGTATGTGGGGTTGTTGTTGTTTTTAACTGGTGTGAATGAAGGATTCACTAGATACAGAAGAGTGTTGGCTTGTCTCTCCACCTTTAATGTAAGACTTTGAAAAGTACATGATCATAATAGCCGTTCATTAGTACTGATCATATGTGCCAGGCACTAAGTACTTTATATGCACAGAGACATTTAATGCTTACAATTACTTTTTGAGATAAATACCTCTGTTCTGCCCATTTTAAAGATGAATGACTGAGGCAGATTAATTAATCTGCCCAGAGTTACACAGCACAGAAGTAAACTGAGCCACTGTTGGAATCCAGGCAGGGTGGCACTTTGAGCCCAAGCTCCTAACCTCTGAACCACCACACTGCACAAAAAAATGATGCGGTCAGAAATGCATGGAAATGTTGATAATACTAGAGAAAGAGCCTGGCTTGAAAGAATTGTGTATCATTTAATAGGGGCAGGGAGGTATTTTAATGATAGAAAGTGGCATAATCAGGATTTTAAAAAGGAGAGTCTCTACAGATGCAGGCCTAAGAACCTGCAGTTTCTTGATGATTCCATAGAAGGCCAGGATAGATTTCAGGAAAGCAAATGTCTAAGAGTCTGATCCCGAGAGATCATTTTGTGGGATTAACTAACGGGTGAAGTAGGTTGGAAGAACTTTATTTGAAGACAGGATTGGAGAACTCAAAACCCTAGAATCCCCATTAGCCTTGAGGACATTGTGACCTCCCTTAATGTTTCTCCTCCCAACTCAAGGCATCCAGTCATCAGTTTCCCAGCCGAGTTTCTTCCTTCCTTTCATTGTTAAGCTTCTTAAATGAGTCAGTGAGAATTAATTGCTTCTGCTTCTTCCCTGCCCCCGGTGGTTCTCAGCCCTGCTGCACATTGGAACAGAATCAAGTGGAAAGTGTTAAGAACAAAAAAAAAATCACCCCACTACTCCACACCAGATCAATTAAATAAAAGGATCTGTGTGAGGCTTTAGCATTCCTTCCTTAAAAGCTCCCCACTTGTTTTGGATCTGTAGCCTGGTGAGAGAACCACTGTCAGATACACTTTCAACATTTCTACACACATTGCCCCACATAAGTTAACTTGCACAGCCACCAGATCCAGTGGCCTGTTCTTGGCCCCTAAGCTGTCCTGCCTCCCAGCAGCGTTTGACACTGTTCCTCTCTTAATAATGTTCTCTTCCCTTGGCCCTGTGATAGGACAGTTCCCTGCTCTTCATCCCACCCTTCTGAGCCCACATCTTCATGTTCTTGATTGGCGTTACCCTGTTCCCATTCCCAGTATAATACTGGCTGCATTTACTGAGTGCCAGGACTTTCTCTGCATGTTTTAATATCTGGGACTAGTCCTACTCTCCTGCTACACTGTAAACTTCTTAAGGTATTTTTTTAACTCACCTGTTTTTTTTCCTTTATCACCTAAGCTTACTGTGGACCCTCAGTGTGTATTCAAATTGAATTCTGTTTTGAATTTCAGGAAGATGTGAAATTGCTCTCCCATCTGCTCCAGGCTTTAGGTTTTGGGGCGCCCCCTCATGGAGGAATTGCCTTAGGTAAACAACTATCCTTTGACAAGCTAAATTTCATTCCATAACCGTCCGTATGTCTCAGATTTGGGCTCAGTTTCCAGGCAGGGGCAGAGGAGGAGTGGGTGGGGGTAAAAAGGATAGGGTGCGAGCCCAAGAATTCTGTAAGAATTTAAGTTTGTATTTTCATTTCGTTGATATATGTTTAAAATGTACTTTACCAGTTAAAGGTAAAACTTGACTGATAATTTGCATGTGAAAGATTTCTTAATAGAATAAAACTTCAGTCTTAAGTCAGTATTGCTCAAATCCCTGGGGGCTCACAGATGCATTCATAGGTATCTGGGAGACACTGCTCCATAGTATTCAGCTAGTGTGAGAGTAGGAATATGCCAGTGCCCTTCTGCCATGGTTGCTCACCTTGCTTGTTTTATCAAGCAAGGAGGAGTGTGAGAAATTCTCAGAAGCTCACCTAGATTGTAGGCCCTCGACAGCAAGGACGTCCATCTGTGTTCTTGGGAGTGCCCTGCATAGCACCTGATGTTTGTCAACCTTTAGAAAACCCTTGCTAAGGACTCATTAATTGCTGTGACTTAATTTGAGCGTGTGAATATTCATCCTCAGCATTTTTCTAGAATAAGACAGAAAAGAAGCTTTCAAACAAACAGAAGTTCCCTAAAAAAGGCAGGGAACTCTGCTTGGCTGCAACTTGTTAAAGATTCTTACTTAAAAGTTCTCTACAACCTTTGTAGAAAACCTTAGTCACTCCCAGCCTTAGATTACATTCTTATCTGTTACCTTTGTATTTTATTTCCAGGGTTAGACAGACTGATATGCCTTGTCACTGGAGCACCAAGCATCAGAGATGTCATAGCCTTCCCCAAATCCTTCAGGGGGCACGACCTCATGAGCAGTGCCCCAGAATCTCTCCCTCCTGAGGAACTGAAGCCCTATCATATCCAGGTCTCCTGGCCAGCAGACTCAGAAGCATAAAAGAGCTCCTTGAATCAGCCATACCATCTAGAAAGTTGAGCTTTTGAGTTTTGTCTGCTTTGCTTCCCCAAGGCTGAAATCAGATGCGGAGTTCTGCCACAGGTCTGATAAGCAGGTCTTTAGGTGGAAGGAATCCAGACAACATTCTTCACCACAACAAAGAAACAAGAAGGTATCCAATTTTGACTTGATAACAGGCATTACTAGGATTTTTTGTTTGGGACTTTTTTGGCAGTTTCTGTTACCTGCAGAGGTGTGAAAATGGCCCTTTGTCTGAGTAATATAATAGCTTAGTGTTTTCTCATCATGTTTTTCATACCTGGATAGTAGATCGTTCACTTGAGACAGAGGTGATCAGACCATGTGAAATGTGGGGAAATGCTTGCCCCTTTAGACCAGTCAGTTGATGGGGGGTCAGTTCAACCAGCATCATCAAGAGAGTCCTGTAAATTAAGCTAAATAGTGACATCTCAACTATCAGTATAATACAACAAGAAGCATCATGATATAATGCAAAAAAAAAAAACACCAAAATCAAAGTCACAAAATCTTAGTGTTTCACCTTGAGCAAGTTACATAAGCCTCTTTTCCTGCTTATATGAAATGGGAACACTGCTTGTCCAGAACCAGAGGAAATGATGAATGTGGAAGGAATAGTGAGTGAAAATGCTTTGAAAAACTATAAAGCATTACCCAAATATTATTTATCTGTAAACAGATACAGGTATACCTATGTATCTTATAGTCTAAGATTAAATAAAACTGATATCTATAGTATAAGAAAAACAGTAATCAGTATTCTATTTATGATTCTATTTTTAAAAATAATTATTGGGGTGCTTCGCCGGCTCAGTGGGTAGAGCATACAACTCTTGATCTTGGGGTGTAAGTTTGAGCCCCACATTGGGTCTAGAGATTACTTAAAAATAAAATCTTTAAAGAAATAATAAAATAATAATTATTATTATTAATCCCTGAAAAACACTCATTTGTAAGTAATTGAAAATATTGATCTTAGGTCAACCTCAAATATAGAAAAGTGAACACCAAAGCTATTGTAATTTTCTTATACATTCTGTGACATAAATAAAAGCTTATAATTAGTTAATAATTATGAAACGGGAACAAGGCCTTGATTAATGAAATTGTTCTTTTCTACTTTATCTTCACTTTTGCCTTGACATTCTTTTGATGTGTAATTTATAAGTACCAAGTATCAGTTCTCAATCCCTGCCTATTTTTCTTGGCAGTCTAAGCAATGCAATCCTATAGTTGTTTCTGTAAATCTGCTTCCTTTCCAGTTCTAATCTGTGATACTCAGTAGACCAAGATGAGTATGATCGTTCTTCACTGCTGCAGAAAAGTGGTTTGCCGTTAGGTGGAGCTTTTCTCTAAAGTATGTCCTCGAACCCAATCTCCCCATCTGTGGGTGTACTCTGGAGCAAGAAAATTCTTGCTGGCAGGACTCTCCTGGTGAGAATCGGTATCCAAGTCTGCCTACCCTTTCTCAGTGGAGAGAATTTCTAGAGCTTCCCTTTAATAGGTGGGGAAATGCAGTTTACGTCCATTTATCCCCCATGGCATAAATGTAATTCACTATTGACTATGTAAAGCCTAATTCCAACCAAAATGTTGTCTTTTATCCTGGAAATGAGAGTTCCAGAAGACACCTAAAATCCAGAGAATATTTTCTAGGCTACAAATACTAAAGACCCCCAGTCCTTAGAAGGCAAACAATCCTCTATTGTTATCTCAAAGACCTAGTCATTTTGGGCCTCACTCGGCTTTTCTTCAGTCTTGCCTCTTGGGGAAAAAAAACAAAATGCTTATTCTGAAATCCAGGGAAATGTCACTTATTTTAGATCCCTTATCATATTGAAGTGAGGTGAAATTTTAAATTAAGTCTTTTCTCAAAAATTAAGGAACTACTTAATGATAAAGTTGAAAACAACACAGCCAGGATTTTGAAATGCACAATCTGATTGTAAACTGGATGCTAAGTTTATTTCAAATCCTATCTGCCCACTTTCCTAGGGAATTTAGGTTTATCCTGTGTTGCAAGTTTTAGAAACAAAGGTAAGCAAGTGCCAGCTACAACATCAATAGTTATTATTAGCTTCAAGAGAGCTCTGTCTTATGAACAATTTCTCCTTGTTGGAAAGAGATTTGTCAGATGATGAGTCTGATGGGATTGCTTTATGGTCTTGGGCTTTGCTTGAATAAAACAGTGCATCTGTACAGCTGCTCCAGGATTCTCTTCTCTGAAGAACCAGAACTCTGTAACATCACATTCCTTGCTACTGGTTTCTTAAGCATAACCAATCCTAAAAATACTGCCTTAAGGACACCTTTTTTCTTATTTTGAGGAAAGGGAGTTACGTTGTACCATGAGAAATAACCAGGTGCATAGTAAGATGAGACAGTTGCACATGTAAGTCCTGCAACAGTGCACATCTGCGTCCATCCGTCTTCTCTATTTAAGACAGTGTACTTGGTAGAAAGAGCTTGTGTGGTTTAGACAGACCTGAATTTAATTCCCTCTTTACCATTCTCTAGTTATACAACCTTGCCCAGCCGTTCAGCCTCTCTAGGCTCCTGTTTCTTTTTTTTTCTTTTTTTTTTAAAGATTTTATTTATTTGACAGAGAGAGACAGTGAGAGAGGGAACACAAGCAGGGGGAGTGGGAGAAGGAGAAGCAGGCCTCCCGCTGAGCAGGGAGCCTGATGCGGGGCTCGATCCCAGGATTATGACCTGAGCCGAAGGCGGACACTTAACGACTGAGCCACTCAGGCGCCCCCTAGGCTCCTGTTTCTTAACCTAGAACAACAGTTCTCAAATTTTGGTCTCAGGACCACTTAACTCTTTAAAAATTATTGAGGACCCCAAAGAGCGTCTATAAATACTCTTTTACTATAGTAAGCAATTAGATTTTTTTTTTAGATTTCTTAAATATGTATTAATTCATTTTAAAATAATGAACTGACATGTTGACACAAATAGCATGTTTGTATTTTAAAAGTAATTATTTTTCAAAACAAAAATTAAAGAATGATGTTTTACATTTCTGCAAATCTTTTTGATACCTGGCTTAATAGAAAACACTGGATTCTCATTATCTGCTTCTGCATTCTATCTGTTGTCATATGTTGTTTTGCTTGAAATATGTGAAGAAAACCTAGCCTCACATAAGTGTGAAGTTGAAAAAGACAGGAGTATTTTAATAGCCTTCCTGATAATTATAGGTATTCTTCTTTGATACTATACAAAACCTTGACAAGTTCCTTAAAGATTAGTTGCAATGTGGAGTCTGAAATCATATTGATAAACTTTTCTAAAGTCCATTGGTTGACCTTGTATTTTGAATACAACTTTTATGCATGCTTTTGTAACACTACACACTGATCATTTGGAAAATATTGGTACACTGAGTTATACAAATTTTCCAAATGTTGACACATTTCGGCACATAATATCTAAAAAATCACACTAATATCACCATGATCTTGTCACAAGTGTTTTAAGTATGAAGAGGCTGCAAGGGCACAGTGACAGATACAAGCTTTCCAAATTCTGTTTTTCATTAGAAAGCTTGAATTTCACCATTTGCCAACGAAGACCATCAGTTTTTTTCCAAACTTACTCATATTTTGTTTTGGTTTCTTTTTTTTTTTTTAAGATTTATTTATTTTAGAGAGAGAGCATGAGCGGGAGGGGCAGAGGGAAAGAGACTCCCAGGCAGACTCCATGCTGAGCGCAGAGCCTGACAATGGAGCTCTCTCTCAGTACCCCGAGATCATGACCTGAGCCAGAAGTCAGACACTTAACCAACAATACCACCCAGGTGCCCCCAAACTTGATTTGTTTTTTAGAAAATATCTGCCAAATACCCAAATATGAATAATCTCAATTTATCAGCCTTGTTTTCAAGTAAAAATGATGTTGTATGGAAAAAGCACATAGTTCAGCTTGCAGGAGTGCCTGGCTGGCTCAGTCGGTGGAACGTGTGACTCTCGATCTCAGGGTTGTAAGTTCGAGCCCCACGTTGGGTGTAGAGATTACTTAAAAAATAAAAATAAAGGGCGCTTGGGCGCCTGGGTGGCTCAGTCGTTAAGCGTCTGCCTTCGGCTCAGGTCATGATCCCAGGGTCCTGGGATCGAGTCCCACATCGGGCTCCCTGCTCCGCGGGAAGCCTGCTTCTCCCTCTCCCACTCCCCCTGCTTGTGTTCCTGCTCTTACTGTGTCTCTCTGTCAAATAAATAAATAAAAATCTTTAAAAAAAAATAAAATAAAGGGCGCTTGGGTGGCTCAGTCGGTTAAGTGCTTGCCTTCGGCTCGGGTCATGATCCCGGGGTCCTGGGATCAAGTCCTGCATCGGGCTCCCTGCTCCGTGGGGAGCCTGCTTCTCCCTCTCCCCTTGGTCCTCCCCTGGCTTGTGCTTTCTCACTTTCTGTCAAATAAATAAAATCTTTTAAAAAAATAAAAACAAAGATTCAGATGTCTTTAAAAAAGCACTGCACCTGATTTTTCTAGAAAAAATCATACATTGTTATGTGGCAGAAGTGCTTCACGTGTACTTGCTCTTTTGTCAAAATATTTAAATGACATGCACTCAAGGTCAAGATTCAATAACTAAAGTTCCAAAATGATGAGCAATTTATAAAAATTTATAATCTTTATGCTTCTCAAAAGGTTTTCTGATTCAGAAAATGGCACTTTTATATAAAAGGGAACAAAAATATGTATAAAGAATATATATAAATTTTATATATAAAGAGGTATATAAAAATCCAGAAAACTAGATTTTTTCAGGCAGTTTTTAGAATACTATTTCGGGCAGTGGGAGTTAAGTAAATGAATCTGTTTTGGCACACACAACTACTGTTCATGTAATATCATTGAATATTTGAAGTCTTAGCTTAGGACTTCACTTTAGCAATATGATAGAGTAACTATCCTAGAAAATCTTTTTTGTACAGAACACCTAAAATTCCTAAACAAATTAATTTGAATCTTTGTATTTTTTTTTTTGATTTTATTTAAAGAAAGGGGGGCGGGGCAGAGGGAGAGAGAGAATCTCAAGCAGACTCTTTACTGAGTGTGGAGCCTGACATGGGGCTTGATCTAATGACCCTGAGATCATGACCTGAGCTGAAATCAAGAGTTGGACGCTTAACCCACTGAGCCACCCAGGCGCCCCTCTTTGACTCATTTTAAATGCATAGATGAACTAGTAAGAAAGGGAGCTCCTTAGAGACCAGAAATGCCCCCGACACTGATGTAATTAGGTGCTTAAGCTATTGATATCCTGGGGTAGTGCTGATCTGGTGTGACTTAGGACTTTGGTTTTTGATGGATTATTAAGGGGAAACAGGCAAACAAAGCCTACTGCCTCCTGCATAAGTGGAGAAGTTAGATAAGAGATCCCCATGTAAAACAAGCTCCTGAAAGGAGACCCCCTTGGTAGAGGGTGATGATAAAGAAACTTGCCTGTGTTTGCATTGGCTCTGGGGATCTGCTCTGAGCATTAACAACCACAAGCTGACACAGCGGAGGTTTGAACACTTTACAAGCTGAGATTCATAGTGTTCCTAGGTTGATAAAAGCAAATACAAAATAAAACAACT